TATAGTAAATTATCTCTGGGTTAAGTTTATTTTCAACGCGTCGAGGCCCGTCGACACCTTCATTATTGTTATAGCCACTGTACATAGCAAAAGCATGGCTAGTCAGAAATATTTAGTGTGAATATTCAACTACACGCATGCTGTGAAGATATATGAACAAACGACAACCTTGCCGCTTAGCTATTTCACAAAATGTTTTCTATTTTCCTTTGCAAGATAAGCGATCTTAAAGATGGCAAAGCAGGAAAGGCCAGACACGACACTTATGTTGCATGTCTGAATATTATACAGAATTTAATGGTTGGTTAATATTACATTAAAATTTTGACAAACTCGAACCGATTTCGCTGAGTGCAATTCTGCTATAGCTAATTTATCTGGTTGGTTTCGCTGTCTGAAATTCAGCTAGTAGCCTACCTAAAATGTCTAAAATGTATCTCAAAATATATTTTGACAAGCTCAAACCGACTTCAGTGTCTGAAATTCAGCTACACTGTACCTATCTCTAGGTGGTATTATATATGATTGTTTTGGCAAACTCAAACCGTTTTCGGTGTCTGAAAATCAGACACCGAATTTGTCTCAGTGAGTCTGTATGGTTGGTATTTATATATGATTTTGACAAACTCAAAATGTTTTCGGTGTCTGAAATTCAGACACCCAAATTTATCTCAGTCTGCATGGTTGGTATTTATATATGATTTGGACAAACTCAAACCGTTTTCGGTGTCTGAAATTCAGACACCCAAATTTATCTCAGTCTGCATGGTTGGTATTTATATATGATTTTGACAAACTCAAACCGTTTTCGGTGTCTGAAATTCAGACACCCAAATTTATCTCAGTTTGCATGGTTGGTATTTATATATGATTTTGACAAACTCAAACCGTTTTCGGTGTCTGAAATTCAGACACCGAATTGATATTTATATCTGACAATGGTTGGTCTATTTATATATATAAGTGATAATCTGAATCCAGTTTAAGTCATGTAAGCATATGAATACTGCAAATTTTCACTTTAGCATTAATGATTTCAGAATAGTGTCTCGTTTAGACAAAAAAGTTGTTTTTTTGCAGAGTCTCCAAAAAATAGTATTTCGATTTGCTAAAATGAAATCTTCGCACTTTTTGTTATTTTTTTTAATTTTTGCAGAAAAAAAAATAGTTTGGAATTATTGAAAATAGTTTGGAACGCGTTTACACTTATGACCTTCAAAACATTCTCTACTATTCAGTGTTCTTCACTTCGACTATAATTGACTCATTGCTACAGTAATGCATGTCCCTCCGCTCGAATAGTTTGTGTATGTTACTCAATAGTTAACGTTGCTAAGTGTAAACAACAAGTGACATAACTTTTGCTTCATATTACTACAATAAAGTTTTGAAAATTTGATATGTATGGGGATTGACAAGTGACAGTTTACTAAATAGCCTGCTGCTGGCTATACAGACACTTCAAATATCGTTTGCATGAAATTTTTATTCCTGACTGCATAATTATCCATTACAATCATAATCAGTTAATCACATTATAAAATTAGTTACATTTTATCGGCAGTGGAGTTGCCCCTGCTGCCCTCTGTAGTGTGTACAGCCCTGTTAGATGTGTATTATGTTTGACTTTAAAATCTTATTTGCTATTGTATTATAATAAGTGATGAAATATTTCAATTCTTCTATGTCATCTTCATTATTCAGTTCCTTTCAATAAAATAACGAGATTGGTTTTATCAAATAACACAAACAATTAGTGCTCCCACCCGTAAGACCATGACTTAATCCTCTTTGTTAAACGTTTGTCTCACTCCTACTTCAGAGAAGTTAATTACTTCCAGAGTAGTGCCGATTACCATTATATAGTGACCATTATATGATCGTCGTTATTCGTAAAATAAATACATGTTCTATAAAATAAATACATATTCTAATTTCGAAATTTAAAATATTTTAATGCCGAAAGGTTTCAAGCTGACTTGCAAAGTCAGGAATGGGAATTGTTAGATAACCAATCCTGCGTTGATAAGATTTAGGATGTATGAAAAACACTTTTTAAAAAACAAATAAGCGAAGGAGATCTTCATAAACTCTTTGCAATAAAATATAAATCTGAAAACCACTGGAATGCATACCATGCAAAATCGTCGAGAAATCGCGTCATGAGATATTTACGATATATGGGATAAATTTTGAACGCTTCATAAATTATTGTTTTATAAATAGAAGTTTTTATTGTCTGATATATCAACCCGATCGATGATGCTAACTTTCTGTACAGAGTGACTAGCATGTAGTATATATGCGATTGGTTGGTTTTCTAGAATAGCCAAAGGTTCCAGCAGCAACCGCACTTTGAGCGCATGGGTGCGAAACTGTAATTTGGACTGTATCCAGATCCGGAGGCCAGTGGGATGGTGACGTGTATAGAGAAGTTTTCCGATGATGTTTTAATTAATACACCTTTTTCGTTGTCTAGACACCGTATATTTATCAATATATCTAAGTTATATTTTTCAGAGCCCTACTGAATGCCTCTTGGCAACAGGGCCGTTGCAAGGGGTAACCCCTAAACATTTTTTAGAATTAACATATTCAAAAAATCGGGTTGGCCATTCGGAAAATTACGGCAATAATAGTATAACAAATTTTATTAGTTGTTTCAACAAAGGAAATATAATATAATTGTATTGTCAATATAAACTGATTTACGAAATCATGGCGAGAGAGGGTACTGGGGAGGGGGGGGGGATTGCAGCACTCCTAATAATTTGTCAATAATCATTCTTTTTTCAAAATTATGCAAACCTTTATCATTGAACCCTTAAAATACTGACAATTATTGTTTAATTTTAAGCGGCTACATTATCCTTGACAAACTGCAAAGAACCATATTACCCATACTTTCCTGCAACTTCTCCAATATATAGTTGATTAAATACGCCTTCACCCATTTAGTACTACTAAATTTTAAGCGAATTGCAAAAATTTGACATACAAAAACGCTGTTTTCTGACCATCAGAATTCTGTCAAAACTACCCCAAAGTCCAGGGAATGGCATTTCAGAGACTCTAAATTTAATTTTTTTTGTTTTTAAATTGCGTCTTCATTTTCGGATAGTAAACACCTTCGCGGCTTTGGATGCCATGAAATATTCGGAATTATTTTCGTCATTCAGAATTCCCCCCCCCCCCCCCCCCCGCTCAACTATAACATGCTAGCTACGGCCCTGCTTGGCAGTGCGGGGTCTCTGGTAAGTAGTAATACTAATGGTAATTATAACAAGCTGGATAAGTACTTCATAATTATATGTTTCCAATACTGTTTCTATTCCTGGCCAAGAGGGCGGATCAAAAACTTCTGTCACCAAAGGCTGCCAGGAATTGCCAAAGCAATTATGCTTCTATTCTATTTTGTTAAGACGCAACTTGCATTTGGATCACAGTTGTTATGCATATTTGGTGATTATATAATGCTTCAATAGAATTTGGCAGATCGTTTTATTCAGATGCTTATTTGGCTGTAATATGGAGCCTACAAAGGAACACATACGATTCTACATTTACCCTCAATATAAACATGGTATTCGAGCAAGACCTATCCATAAAGAGCTTCTGAAAGCTTATTTTGACCATGCACCTTCTTTTCGCATATAATGCTCGAAGGATCCGGTATTTTGCTGATGGCAGAAAGAGTGTTGAAGATGAAGCACGTTCTAGTAGACCTTCGACGTCTGTGACCGACAGTTTAGTGAAATGAGCTGAGACGTTAATAGCAGAAGACCTACAGTAGGCCTATAACACTGAGTTTTCTTGCCTTGGAACTTGGGATAAGCTGCGGAAGTGCACGTACCATCATCCATGAGCAACTTTGACGGTCAAATAACTGTGCAAGACGGGTCACTCATCAGTAGAAAACAGAGCAGAAGGCATAAAGGGTGCCAATTTATCGCGAAGGAAGGAAGTCATCTAGAGGGAATGTGACTGTAATTTGTGACGTTGTGTGTGAATTATCAGAAATATCGGACAAGTGGCAGAACTTTCTGATCCGCCATCGTAGTTATTTGTCGCTGCTATTAACGTATAACTTTACAGGGGAATAGGTCAACATTTCATAATTGTAAAATTAATATTGTAAATTCTAAATGCTAGGCAGTGTTGTACGAGTCGAGTCATTTTCAGCGACTCGACTCGAGTCCAAAACGAAAAATGACTCGACTCGAGTCAACAGCCCCAGATGACTCGGACTCGACTTGCTGATTTTGCCGTAAATGACTCGAGTCAACTCAGCTACAAACTTGTACAGAATAAATTCATCAAAACTATTGTGATTGTATTGCTTGGTAAAAACAATGAGCCCTGTGAACAATGAGAACTTCGAAACTTTATCAGAAAATATATGGGATTTGCATAGAATACAGTATATTCCTGTCGCGCATGCCTGTATTACAATTCTGTTTTTAGAAACAACGATGATGCCACAGTTTTTAAAAAGGAGTCTCAAAATTTTTTTGTACTTATACTAATTCTGATCGGCTGTTTTCGTTTTTGGTATTTATGAAGTACTATATAATTTCAAGTTCATTAAATCTTTGTTAATTCTGACTCCAGTTGCAAGTTATGCTAGTTGTATGTACGTACACTCGATTATTATTATTATTATTATTATTATAGAAAGATTACACATTGAATAGCTACAGTAAGTAACTAAATTAGAACGCGCATTACATATATATAGAAAATATACATTAATTACTGAACTATCTAAATTAGGTATTATAAAAGTTTCAATAGAGATAGTTATATTAAAAAAAGAGAGTTATTGACAAAGGTTCAATTGGCGAAACAAATGGACTGATCCAAAAACTATCACTACGTGTTAAAAATGTTTCGATAAAAATATATAAAGTTATATTATATATTATATTATAAAATAGAGTTATTATAGAGTTCAATTGACGAAACGATTGGACTGTTCCGAAAACGTTCTGTTCTGTAGTGGTAATTGTAAAACAATTGACCATTCTGACGTGTAACCCTTTGCCGTACCTTGCAAAGTTTATTAGGAAGAAGATGGTGCAGTTTGTGTTGCGGGTCAGACATTTTACTGATAAGATCAATGCACATAGTATTGCAACGTTGTTAGATTAGCAGGAATGATGAGACATATCATGTGGTTGTACTTAATATTGACTATGACTTAATATTGACTAATTGTGATGTTGGTACAGCCTATAGCTACCCAGATACTGTTATTACATGACTAGAGTGAATAGCTTAAAACGTAAATTTGATTACTAATTTCAAACTGCAAGCTAGGGTAGTGAACCATTACAGAAAGCGTGGGGAGGACCATTCTCGTCCCCAGAGTCATTTTTACTCGGTCACTCGTTGAAAATTAGGCTCTGGATTAGACGACTAAAGCGAGAGATCTGATTGGCTTCTCAGAGAAATGCTATTTCGCAGAAGATGAGCACTTTTCGCTAGGAAAAATTATTCTATCAATATATGTCAACGCAAATACTTCGTTTCCTCGTAATACTTCACTTTGGAAATTATTACGGGTCCCAAATAAAAAAGACCAATTCAAGACCATTCGCTTTAGAAACTACTGAAAGTTTTCTTCCACTTCCGGTCTCGTATGTTCCAGGGCCTAGGGGAGACGCGCACGGCCGAGAGGCTTCGGGGACAAGCATGTGGGTGAACTTGATCAAATTCCTTGACTCAAGTTTAAGTCTAGCGATTGACTCGACTCGAATTAAACCAGTGACTCGACTTGACTCGAGTGAAACCGCTGACTTGACTCGAGTGAAGCCACTGACTCGACTCGATCAGAAACTGAATTGACTCAACTCGACTCGTGACTCCACCTTTGAGTGACTCGACTCGTGACTCGACCTGTAGGTGACTCGTTACAACACTGATCCTAGGCACATTTAGTTAAATGTTAACTTCCCGGACCACATGCGCATTGAACAAACTTACAATTTCAATTCTACAGCCCCATCATTTTTCGGCCCTCGCAAAGTTGTGCCATACCTTGCACCTTTAGGATGTTGCACATAACTAACATGTTTAACCGTGATAGGGTAGGAGAGTGAAGGTCTGGGACGTTTGGGCCCATCAAGAAAGAAAATTAAGGAAAAAGCACGGCAGGGCGGGGTGTAGATATGCTTGATAATGCGGCAGCTAGTGGGTAAAATTTGGCACTGTAAATATAATGGCAAGTGAACTAATATTTTGGTCACGATCGTACCTATTGTCACGTAAGTTTGGAAAACCAAATTTGCGGTATGACAATACCAAAATGTTGAATATGACATACTATGAGATAAATGTTAATTAAACTAAGCTAAAATGGCTAAAGTTCTTATTCATGATCCGACCAGAATTGAATTACATCCTGCATGGTTGGCCTTTCTTGCGGTTCAATTCCCGTACAATTTTCCACCAATCTTTTGATATCAGCATTTGGAATCCTTTTTATTTGACCCCTTCTTATGATTTGTTCAGAATGAGGTAACTGACAAATGCACATCTCGCATACCAGGAAACCATAGCTGAACACATCGATCTGCGTAAATATAAACCAGATAAAACAATTTATTTGTTGATTTCACTTCAAGTGTGTCCACAAACTGGGCAAGATGAAAATAGGGATCGAACATTCAACATTTGGCTTATTAGTCCAATGCTCTACAAAAATCCAGCTTGTGTCTTCACAGGGGTTACTATAAAATAACAATACACGCCTAGCATTTTTGCATGCAAAAACAATTTGCCATTTACGATAACATGTGGTATTCTGCTATAATAATGCGCAATCATAGTTAATTGGAAACTTTTATTGCTGCGGAGCGAGCGAGCGAGCCTGAAGAGAGCGAGCAAAGCAGCAACCCTAATTTGGGTATAGGGAGAATTTATTATCTCAAACCGTTGTTTACCGCTGTGCATTGTGATTGTGCGCGATCGGTAATGCGCCGTAAGCTTTTTGTCGGTTGTATAATTTCCACGCCACCTTTTGGCAATTTTGAGTTATGGTTACCGCACAATTTTAACGAAGTAAGAAAACCTTCTAAATGTTAGAATATTTTTTTACGAAGAAACCTTTTTCATATCATATGCTACTCGTTGTTTGTATTCTTAAGGTGGCTCCCTACAGTTATAGTCCAGTTTAAAACATTTATATAGCTCAGACGTAATCCTCGCGACTCGCGCGTGAAATCTTCGTGGTCCGGTAAAGATCTTGAAACAACCCGCAGGAAGTTGTTTTTGTATTTTTATCTACAAAGAAAACGCCAGTTTTTTTATTATGATCCTAAACTTTTCAACATTCGAACAGTACGTATGTTGTTAGCTAGTTTTTTACCTACCTTCTGTGTGTGTGTGTTTTTTTATATATATTTAATACGTTCAGGACTGTATTTCACAATGCTCACAATGTTCAACGACAGTGTCACGGACTGAAATTATATTTTATCACTAAATCCTGTCATTCAACTCAGTTCACATGTAGTTTTTTTATCTGCTGAATCCAATAAAACTATAATGCAGTCAGTTACGAGTTGTTTTATACGAAAAGTCAAACTCTACTTGAATGTTTTGAAAAGTTTTCACACCGGTTTTCACAACAAAACTAAATTTAAGAAACGTTGGATTAAGACAGTGAGTTATTATTTTTCGTATTTTGAACATATATAGACCTATATATATATATATATATATATATATATATATATATATATATATATATATATATATATATATATATATATATATTTTATTTGCATTTCAAATCAGTAAAAAATATCTGTGTGATACGTATAAGCAAAAAAAATCAAAGTGAAAATTGCTAAAAAAGCCGACTATAAACCATACACGTTTTCTTTCCTCACGCATTATAATTTACACGCATACGCAAATAGTGATTATGTCGAATCGATATTTTGTCACGTCAACAACTTCAACTGGATTTAGGACTATTTTTCTCGCGTTTCCTTCGGTGAAAATTTTTAAAATTTTGCACGTTTGCTAAGCATGACGATTTGCCAAACATATCAAAATTTCAAGAAATTTTATAAGACAGATTTTTTGTAGTCGTTATTCATGAATATCTCAAAATCTGCCTTATAAACATCCCTTCAAAATTTAATATGTCATTCCTCTTTCAACCATAAATCTTAAAAAAACAATTCAGAAAAATTGACCGAAGGAAAAAAAGATATTGCCGTTTGATTGTAAAATTAGACAATAAAAGTGCAAAAGATGAAATGTCATGGTTGCCATCGCAACGCTAACACAGTTCCTATTTGTTCATATATCGACAGCAGAACTGAAGACTTCTGAACTTTCCTGGAAGTGTTTATATTGCCCTGTCTTAAGTGTGTTCAATATAAATTTGGTTGAAAACGAAGGTTACCTAAACTACTTAAAATTTTAGAAAACTGTAGGGAGCCACCTTAATTCGAAACAAAAGCACTCGTTTTTATTTCGAAACGAAAGCACCGTACATCGAATCATTGATCAAGGTTTTATTTCCCATGCCTTCAGAACGATTCAGCGTTCCAATTTCCATTCATTGTTCTTTTTGCGTCGATTCATGCATTGTTCACTCAATGGACTTTGCACTGTCAGTTCTATATTATTCATTACCAGAAATGTGGGTCAAGATGGTGGACATGACAAAAAATTACGCAACAAAATGGCGTCCGATAATGCTGGGATTAGTATAGGCATATAAGAACTTTCTCAAATATCGCATGCATGAGCCGCAAATCACGCTTACTTGGCATCGTTTCACATGCTGTGCTGATTCAGGAATCTATTAATTCTAACAACTATTTCTAGAATAAAATACACTCACTTCCCGAGCTCACTATTGATATCACATTCACCAGCATAATAACTCCTTATATTGCATGTGAATCTGACAATACACGCCACAAACGCAGCCTGGTGTACGGAAATATATCTAGCGAAATCTTGAGCTTGGCATCGGAATTGTTTCAATAACATTCAAAGTTTATATATTCGCCAACAAAAGTATCTAAATTCCGCAGGAAACTACTTCCAAAATCCTCTAAACTTAGCCATTTTATTCATCCATACATGCCACAAGAGGCCATTTTTATCAGCACAACTACGATAAAATTTTCATACATTGCGTTTCTTCTCCGCCATATTTGTTTTTAAATTAATTATGCTCCTCCCAGTCTCTTACCCTGCCCATCACGCAAATTTATGCACATTTCTCAGCTAAATACATTTATTATGCGTGCGTAAACGCGTCAAATTTGGAAAATAGTTCTTCGATCGTGCCACAAATAGCGGTTCTGCTGTTGTAAAAAATGTCAGACTATCTTACATTAGTTAATCGCAGTAAAATAAAATAGAATTTAGCCGTCAGCACGGAGTTTCCTCTTCAATATATTAACAACACGATTTGTCTTTGAAGACTATGAGCCGCCATTTTGTTTGTATTTTTTGATGAATCATCATTTATGCGTAAAACCGCTGGTTACAATTGCGGACGCAAAATGTCCCACATTTCTGGTAATGTATAAAGTTTGGTTTCTAAGTCTAATAAATTTGTGCATTTAACGTGGTAAATGAGCCTAGAGGTAAACAAACTTGATATGAAATCTGATAGCAAAAACGTGTGTTATCCCCAAGCCAACGGCGCGTTGTGCCGTTCCGGGAGTAAGTCCGCGATAAGGAACATAGCTAAGAGATATAACCAGGGCGAAAGGAGAGAGGGCGTAGAAACGACCATACATCGAGCGGACCATTCGTGATGCGGGCTTCGCGGGGGGGTAAGACGTTCTAATTGTAAACAAATATGGCTACGCGTATATGACCCATCAGAAGGTATGCTGAAACTATTGCTTTATAAAATATTACTTGCGTAAAATTTATATGTTTTTGTTACTTTTAGCTATTATAAGAAACTTAAAGATAAGATTTAAGTAACCAAAAACTTTATTTGGAGTGTTATTTTATTTCTATACTCTGTTTAATTTGGTGTTTAAAAATGGCCGTCGAGATGTTGTAAGAGAGTGTTAGCGCGCACTGCTTCCTGATAAAAACCCAATGATTTCCAAAACCTAAATTATAATTTGTTATTAAGTTATGATGAAAACCTTTGCGTAGACAAAATTATAGAGTGATCAAATATGAGACAGATAGGTTTTGAACCATTCAAAGTTCGATGTCGAATTGACAGTTGAAATAGTACCAAACTCCAAGCTGAAATGTGCAACTTTATCGTGTATATTTTTGTCAATTTTGTTTACTGGCCTTTGCTAAATTCACTTGCAATGGCTCGACATAAGTTACAACATACAAACTGAGCAGAGCCCATGAAAAAGCTATCCATACCCCTACAGTCATTCAGCTTCCTTGCTATTTAGAAGTGCATGGTTGCCCATTAGTCGAAAAAGAATTGCTATTGTATGCGCTTGTTTGCACTTCCTTTCCTAAAAAAAGTCGACAATATTAAGGCTAAATAGCAGAAAAATATGACCCAATAATCCATGCAATTAAAAATATCTATCAAATTAACTTCAAAAATCATGACCATATATCTATTCGGGCAACCCATAATTTAGTGACAGGTCTTGGCAAGGTGAAAGCTGAAAGGAACCCTTAAGATGGGTGTACTACAAAACTATATTGACTGAAGTTTTGGAAACATTTAACAAAATTTTGAAGGATTGACTTGCAAACTGTGATTCAGTATCATGGAATTTTACACTTCTGGAGAAGTTGTGGCTCTGTTAGTGCCATTTCTTTCATTGTTTATATATCTTGCTTTTAAGCATTGCTCGCTTATAAAATCTTTCAATTCCTTAGGGCCTGTTTATATGATCCCGCCTAGATGGGACGGGACGTTTTCATCCCGCCAAGACAGCTAGGATACTCACCTAGTGTTTATATGGACAAAATACATTGCCGGGATGAAACCATTCGGTGCTTGACGTCATATTTTTGTTGCAATAAAGGCATTTACGCATGCCCAAAAGGGAAAAATTTATTCCGCCTAACCGGGAATAAGTGTTTATATGGGAATTTTTCATCCCGGCTAGGCGGGATGAAGTGTTTTTATATGGGAATTTTTCATCTCGCTTAGGCAGGATCCCGGCATCTGTTGCCGAAATCCAGTCTAGGCGGGATAAGTGGCGGGATCATATAAACACTCTTTAGCATTTCTATTACGAGCAGGATCTCGGTAAGCATCCCGTCCCGCCTGGCCGGGATCATATAAACAGGCCCCTAATCTCATCCCATGATACTGAATCACAGTTTGTAAGGCCCCATTTACATGAGACCAGGATGAAACCAACCTGGAATGAAAATTGAAATTGCATGTCAACATGTTTACATGAGACCAACTGGTATGAAAATCACAAAATTTTCAATTTATTCCCCTTGCCAGGCAATTTTCTTTTCTAGATGACTTTTGTTAGCATGTGTTGTTCACTTGTTCCAATGTCAACATTCATTCCAATCTGAATTCATACTGGTCTGAGTCAGTCGGCTTGGTCCAGCAGGCGGAATTACTTGAGACCTCATGTAAACATCAATTATATATAATATAATGACCAATTGAAAACGAAATGGTCCCGGTTAATTGACTTCGTTCCAGTCTCATGTGAACTGGAGCTAATAAAATCCTTCAAAAGTTGGCAAAATTTTTCCAAAACTTCAGTCAATATAGTTTTGAAGTACAGCAATCCCAAGATCTGTCACTAAATTATGTGTTGATTGCCTGAATAGATATAAATATTCCTCAAATCATGATTTTTGAAGTTAATTTGATAGATATTTTTAATTGCATGGATCATTGGGTCATACTTTTCTGCTATTTAGCCTTAATATTGTAGACTTTTTTCAGAAAAGGAAGTGCAAACAAGCGCATAAAATAGCAATTCTTCTTCAACTAATGGGCAACAATTTCTAAATAGCAAGGAAGCTGAATACTCTGAATGACTGTATGGGTATGGACTATCTGACTGTGGATAGCTCTTTCATGGGCTCTGCTCAGTTTGTATGTTGTATTAACTTATGTCGAGCCATTGCAAGTGAATTTAACAAAGCCAGCGAACAAAATTGACAAAAATATACACGATTTAGTTGCACATTTCAGCTTGGAGTTTGGTACTATTTCAACTGTCAATTCGACCTCGAACTTTGAAAGGTTCAAAACCTATCTGTCTCATGTTTGCTCACTCTATAATTTTGTATACGCAAAGGTTTTCATCATAACTTAATAACAAATTATAATTTAGGTTTTGGAAATCATTGGGTTTTTATCAGGAAGCAGTGCGCGCTAACACTCTCCGACAACATTTCGACGGCCATTTTTAACCACCAAATTAAACAGAGTATATAAATAAAATAACACCCGAAATAAAGTTTTTTGTTACTTAAATCTTATCTTTAAGTTTGTTATAGTAGCTGAAAGTAACAACAACATATAAATTTTACACAAGTAATATTTTATAAAGCAATAGTTTCAACATACCTTCTGATGGGTCATATACGCGTAGCCATATTTGTTTACAATTAGAACGTCTTACCCCCCGCGAAGCCCGCATCAAGGATGGGTCCGCTCGATGTATGGCCGTTTCTACGCCCTCTCTCCCTTCGCCCTGGGTTGAACCAACGCGTATAATGGCGAAAGCACCGCGTATAGTGGTATACCACCCCGTATAATACTCGAATAATGGCGAAAGACCGCGTATAATGCCGAAAGCACCCCAAAGATGCGGTTTGATCACTTAAGACAGCTATGGCTTTCCATACTTGTCTAATGCTTGTGGTTTTATAATTTATCAGTTCTATTTATAATTTAAAAATGTGCTGCGAATTTTTCATATTGATAAATTCGGACATGTTTAACATTTTACTCATATAGTAAATTCAAAGATGGACCTCATGTTGTTTCATTAATATATTAGGTTTCAAAAATAGTTTGAGCACTACTTAGTGGAAATCTTGAAATCCGATGCAAATCTTGCAATCCGATATATTTTCCCGTATTGAATTGTCACGGCAAGGTGAAATTGGTCAACCCTTGCAATTGTACGGCCCAACTAAGAATTCGTCATTGTGCTATCGAGCTTGGAATAATCCGTAATAATTGTAACATTCTTTGCTGCTTTTCTCGCGAACTTGTGTTAGTTAAAAGGCAAGGCGCGCTTATAGATAACGACTTTTTAGACGTACTACGTATCCCCTGCCATCGAGAATCATGTTACGTTTGAGAGCTCGAAAGCAAAAGCCATATTTGATATGTCCTTTAAAACACGAGCCGTAAAGTAAAATGCATAGGCGTACCGGGCGGGAGGGCGTAGCCCCCCCAGTTTGTTGGGCAGTCGGGCAATATTCGAGGAACAGTCGGGCAATTTTGGTTTGCAATACAAAAAAAATGCGACAAATTCTGTCAATTTTGTCTAAAATTCAGTAAGTTTTGTATCAATTTTGTGTTTTTTGGAAAATTTGTGTTATGTTCCGAAAAATTTTGGTTGTCCGGAAAATTTTTTTGACCCCTAAAATGGTACACTGACTAAAATTTTTTTGGGGGGGGTGGGGAGGTCGCGAAAATAATTTTTCCGGGAAATATTTTTTGGTACTAGTCGGGCACAATCCCGAAAAGTCGGGCAATTTTCTTTCCGCCCCCCTAATTTTTCCTTCCGGTACGCCCATGGTAAAATGATAAAGTTAAAGCTAAAGTTAAATAAATCGGGAAAGAATAAACAAGAAATCTAAACGTCAGAGCTAGAATTGTCATAGCCTGCGTAGCAGGCGTTTAGTGTGGGCGGGAGAAGAGAGGGGTTCGTTAAGTAAACGCCTGCCCAAATGCCTATGATTAATTTGTACTTCTCCGAAGAATCTTCGGAAAAGCTTCCCATTGGTCAATCTCGTTCACGGAAGTAATTACGTAACTCAAATGTCAACAATAATTTTGCTCGCGTATCGAAAATATCGAAAATATGCCGCCTGTTATTGCTTTTCGAGGGAACTCTTATATTTCAAGTATTTAGGCTTCGAAATTCAGTTGAAACCAGAATAGAGAAAATCTATTATTAATTTGCTACGTGGTGAAGTCGCCGGTTATCGCGATTCTTCCTACGGAATACGGAAAATCTGCAAATCAAAGCTTGCAGAGCGGCAGGGATCGAATATAAATTTCCTTATAGTTGTCTTGTTATTTGTTCACTTTAAAGTATAATTCAAGACCAAATAGTTGAGGCTACATCACTTTGCATTGCAGCTATAAGGTTGGATGATGATTTTAAGAATAACATTTCAAAACATGCTCAACTGTTATAATTTTCCAGTTAATTTGCTATACGGCAGAATACGTTAAACAACCGTGGTTCAAGAGCCTTATAAAAGATAAAAGCTCAGTGACTGTTTTGTGACTGTTCTCCAAATTAGCTTCAAAAACTCATTAATAATTCATGAGGAAGAAACGTAAAGAAAAATCATAAACCTGTATCTTTATATGTGATAGAGATTTCCCTTGATTTACATAAACTTTAACTTTGAATTTCTTTACATACACAACGAATTTTTTAAAAACTATTTCGCCAACGAACTTATACTAGATCGATCGTTTTTGAAGCAATTAAAAAACATTCGCACTGCGTGTTTTACCAGCTAGACCATCTTTATATAGATAAAACACTGCTGCTCATGTTTTAAATAGTACATAAAATCGCTGCAAATCTCCCTAGTTGCCGAGCAAAAAGCATGCATGATGCTAAATATAAATCTCGACTATGATTGGATAATGGGTGAAGGTGCTAATTACAAAACGTCAATCATCCTTAATGGGCGAAAACAAATTTGTCATAGCCATTTTTGCAGGCGTTTCCCCAGTTCCCGCCCGTCAGCAAAACGCCTACTACGTACGCAGGCTAGAATTGTCAAGGAGCACGTCACATGAATTTGAATGGTGAAAGCAATTCTTTGTTTACAATTTAATGACGTAATTTTGGGATTTCATTTGCCGAGCAGGTATGACAAAAACCGGCTAATTCCAATGTATTGAACGAGTTTAGAGTTTAATTAAGACTCAAAAGATGAATTGCCGTCCAGCTTTTTTTGCTACAGCTATTCTGATAGGAGAAAAATTATCCAGAAGTTGTTTGACTGCCCGTCATTTGGTTAAAAAATCACGTGATTGCAAACAAAGAATATTTATCCTGTTCAGGTTAGTATGTTTCTAGCAGAAATTGCGTTAAAATCGTTGTTGATGTTCGTAATCATTTTTAATGTTTTAATATGTTAATTGTTGTGAATCTTTGTAAGTAAATATCAAATTTGGATGTATAATTATTACGGGGAATTTAGTTAATTTGGCTACTGGTAATGAGTACCTCCTATATAAAACGAACTAATAAGTTACATAATCTCACTAGATATTACTATCAAGCTTTGGAATAGGGGACATAGAAAAAGAAAACCCTGGGCGGTGATTACCTGAGTGGGTATAATCGTAATTGTGATTGAAAATATAGTAAATCTATTTATACCTTCACAGTGTGTGTTATTTCCAGTATAGCCCTCCTTACATGTACAGAAATAGCTTCCAGGCGTGTTTGTACATGTTGCATTGCCATGGCACTGATCACCATCACAGCATTCATCCAAATCTACAAAAACAAATTTGCCTTCATTTACAATTTTGACCAACTATCTAAACTGTACTGTAGCTGTCATATCGATATTCCACTTGTGCCCAAGCGTGGCCTGAGCGAAGCGACCATGTATTCTTATAGTGTAAAAAGAAGTGAAATCTTAATGTAAGAAAAGAGACTTTTTAAGACGATTTTATTAATTAAAGTGTATTTGATCATTCGGTCTTTTAATTAGTACTAATTAGTAATTAGGTAATATTATGATCGCGAATGTTTCAATGCGACATGCCATATAAGGAATTGAGAATTTTTTAATTGCAACAAAAATACTGATGGCCTACTAGGCCTTACCTTGAACAATCGTAAGTTCTTCAGCCGTATCGCTCAGGTAGAATATATTTTGCAAAGAGGCTGTACTTCTGTCAAATCTATCGATACGTCGTCTTGTACTGTCCATAACGTAAAAATCGTCTTTACCAATTGCAATCTTGACTGAGCTTGTCGTACCAAGATAATAATTTACTTGCGAAGTTGAACCATTGAAGTATGTTTTCATAAGAGAGTAGCTATCATTCTCAGCGATATAGTCAATCCAATAAATTACTTCGTACTCAGAGTCAACTGACAGAATTTGAGGTGATCTATTGTTATTGTAAACAATTTCTTGTGTACCATTATCAAGGAAATAGCGAACAATATCTCCGTTGTTTCCACCAGCAAAAAGAAGTGAGCTGAAATTAAAAAAGCTGACAATTATAGTACTATTACCTATTTTGGAATTCGTGTATTTCATATATTACTGTTACATAATTACATCTAGATCTCGTTTCGTTTTAATCTTGCTGTACGCTTTTTTAATTAAAAGTGTTTAAAATATTAAAAATGTGGAGAGCAGCAAGGGTGAATTTCTTTTTTGACCAATCAGAGCATTTGTTCACGTTTGGCGCTAAGCTAATTGGAACGCGTATATTTTAACTACTTCCGGTTTAGAGGCGTATTTCAACACGAAAATTACGGTCGCAAATAAAACTTGGGGGATCTATTTTTTTAATTATTTGGATTTATCTAACGAAAAATATAAAATTTTCGAAAAATTTACCGCTGGGATTTGCGTTTCTTCGCTTAGCTCTGAAATTACCCGCATTCAAAAACGGCGTATGCAAGGTCATTGCCCAATAGGTCAAAAAGTGTTGTGATTCTAAAGGAAGTGAAGCGAAGGCATATATTCGGAAATATTTAAGAGTGGAAAAAAAACACTTTCACAGCGGTTTTTTCATTCAATTTTCTCGCCTTCGGCCACTACACCAGCAGTGGCTATATAGCACTAAAGTAGAAGAAATATTGAATCACAAAACCGCCGTTTCAATGGATGGGTGCCTGAACATGCTCCCACTAAGCAATCCCCAAGAGAAGATCTACAACGGTACGTTCGGCGCTCGTCGATTGTTAAACAAAGTCGTCCTCGTTATCTTCTTTTTCGCTCGACGTTGTCTCACCATCACTCGTCTCCTCATCATCGATCGTCGTTAGGTATAGAGCTTGAGCAGATATCTTGTCGAAATTTATGACTGTCTCGTTGGCGTTATGCCCAAGCTTCCCGCTTTTATGTTGAGAGGATATTTGCACATCGGCGAAACACTGATGTCTGGCGAATTAAAATCCAGATGGAAAGAATGTACACAGTCTCAAAAAATGCGCCACAAAGGTCTATCACGCCTGCATTCGATCTTATCGCATTTGCTGTGTCAATGGAAATTGAAGGTATATTAAACATATATTCCATACATATGATTCATGTACATTTTATAGCCTGTATAATTAATCATATTTTTTCGAGCAGCAGATTGTCAGTTAACAAAAGTTTACTTATTTGCTTTAGTACGCAGTTTCCCATTTATAATGCAGTTAAAATATTTGATGTGTTTATACAATTATAGATCATGGAATCAAAAACTATTTTTCTGAACTTATAATAATTTTGCTTGTGGAAACATCACGAAAATTCATTATTGGTGTTCCAGGAACAAAAGTAGTATAAGTTTTATCGTCATGCACATTGCTAGAAACAACTTATTTTCTCAACTTACATTGTCAAATTAGAAGGTCTTTCCACTGATGAAAAGCCCAATGGAAGAACTCGGTTCGTGACAACCATGCTTCCAAGAAAATTTAGTAGTTTCCACTTTCTTGTCTCCTTGTTTTGCCCACGCACTCTTGGCAGCAACACAGCCTGACCAGGATTATCATGGAAAACAACAAATGTCTCGGTAGCCTGCGTGGCAGGCCCTCAAATTTATGGGAGCCTGCCCGCTGCAAATCAGGCCCCCATAAATTTGAGGGCCTGTCACGCAGGCTAATGTTTCGGTGAAAAGTTCAACAGTCTTGACTTTCAAATTAAAAATTGACTTTCGGGCTAACATGAAATTTCTGAGGTGGCACGAACATTAATTGGGATGATGCATTTCGTGCTTACCAGCGACAATCCTTTGCCTTTACAATAATTTGCGCGCTCAGCATTGTCAGTGGCATTAGGGGTCGGTTACAAGTATATGGAGCACTATCAACCCCGGGGTTGAACTGTGTTAAAATTGTTTGCGATTACATGGATGGTTTCAACCCGGCCTGGGATTGTATACGTCCTCAATTCTCCCCCGACAGCTGAAGCAGGGTTAAAATTTCAACCCTTGGATGAACTTGACCCTTGGCTGAAAATTTTGTCATAAAATCTCAACTCGGTCTACAAGGCTGAGTTCAGGTTGAAAATATTCCATGTAATTGGCCTCTTGGCCCCTGCTCACAAAAAGAAATGGAAATTTTCAACATGATACTCCTCGAAAGCTGCCAATACTTGATGTAGTGTGCGAAACATTGCAATTCGATGGTTATTCTCTTGCCAATACACGAAACGAGAGAGAACTACTAAAATTTCCTTGTCATAATGACAAAGCCAGAAGTCAATCTCTAGTTTGAAAGTCAAGGCTGCTGAATTTCTCATCAATAAATTTGGAATTTTCCATGATAATTCTGGTCAGGCTGTGTTACTGTCGAGAGTGCACTGGCAACATAAGAAGACAACAAAGTGGACACTACCAAATTTATTTCGAAGCATGGTTGTCACCAACCGAGTTCTTCCATTGGACTTTTCATCTGTAGAAAGACCTTCTAATCCAATAATGTAGGTTCTGTATAATTATACTGCAGCACTATCAATAGTAGTATATGCTTTAGTAAATTGTTTTTGAATCAATGATCCTAAAAATCTGAAAATATACAGTGGCTTTCTATTTTCTATAATTGTGTAAACACATCAGATTCAATTTGTTTAACAAGTGGCAAAAATGCGTACTAAATCAAATAAGTCACCTTCTGTTGTCTGACAAACTGGGGCTCGAAAAAATATAAATCTTTATACAGCCTAAACAATGTATATGAATCATATGTATGAAATATGTTTAATATACTTTCATTCCACTGACACATGCAGCAACAATGATAAGATCGAACGCAGCCGCGACAGTCTTTAATGGCGCGCATTCATCGAGGCCTGTGTGCACACTTTTCAGCTCGAGTGTAACCTACCAGACATCAGTGCTTGCCCGATTTGCAAATATCATCTCAAGAAAAAAGTAGAAAACTTAGGCATAACAACCAACAAAGCAGTCATTAATTTCGAAAAGAAATCTGCCTAGGCTCTACCAAACGACGATGATGAGTAGTCGAGTGAAGACGAAGATTACGAGGACGACTTTGCTGAACAATCAACGAGCGACGAACGTGCCGTTGGAGGTCTTCTCTCGAGGATTGCTTTGTGGGAGCATATTCAGGCACCCATCCATTGAAAAGGCGATATTGCGAGTCAATAATTCCTCTACTTTAGAGCTGTATGGATGCTGCTGGTAAAATAATAGTCGTATAGTGACCGATTGCCAGAAAATTAAACTCCAATATCGCAGTGAAAATGCCTTGTTTCTCAAATGCCCCGTTCCAGCCTTAAATTTTCCGGATATATGCCTTCGCTTCACTTCCTTTAGAATCATAACACGTTTTTGAACTATTCAAGAGTAACCTTGCATACGCCGTTTTTGAATGCGGATACTTTCAAAGGTAAGCGATAAAAGGCAAATCCCAGCGGCAAATTTTTGAAAATTTTATATTTTATATGATTTCGTTGGTCTCCCTCAAGGGTCATCAACATGCCAACTCGGTAATAATTAAAATTCCTTGTTTTGTAAATGATAAAAACCAGTAAATTAGACAAGACTCTTAGAAGCAATTTCTGGGAATATGGTACTTCACATAGCTGGCACTAACTGAAAGGATAAAGTAATGAATCGATATCTCATGTTCTCTTTTTAAACATGCTGTAAAAGGGAAAGTATCCTAGCGTTGACCAACACTTGAATCATTTAACAAAAATATAACTTAGCGCAATGGTAAAACTCGTTAAACCAATTTGTTATTTTTATTAAGGTATTATAATCAATGGCAGGTGAAATATACCTGTTATTTGGATCAGTATCCAAGTCTTCAACACCACTTCCAACATTAGAACTTACAGGATTGTCAGCTCCAGTATCCAGATCAATGCTGCGAACGTTTCTGAATAAATTAGTAATGTAGTACACCTTCCTTGTTATATGATCTACAGCAAAACGTAATATGGTGGAGAGAGACGCTATTGCAGTTGCATTACTGCCGTCCAGTTTAACACTTATTAGATTATCACCATCGTAGTAGAGGAGTCTTTCACTCGAAGAATCGTAGTTTAACTTCACGTTACTTTCTGATCTTATCATAACTGTTGAATTACCGTCAGAGAATACACCTTTGATACCACTTGATGTTGCATAATATATTGCATCCACTTTACATGTAAGTTCTGTAAGGCACAACATAGAAAAAGTCATATACGTCACAATATAGTTATTATTTCATGTGGAAGTTGTTTTTGTTCTTCTGCTGACGAGTGGACTAAAGTGAATTTTAAACAATCCATTCCGAGGGAATTTGTGATGTACATCTTTCATTTATAGACCTGGAGCGAGGGGAATTCGGTGAAATATTGCCCGAAGAGATGATATTCCCCAAGGTGCTTCCCCGAACGCCCCTGAGGGAAATATCATCACTGAGGGTGATATTTCGTCGAATCTCCCGAGCGGAGTCTATAAATCGTATATTATACTGAAAATTAAAAGCCTCCAAGTTGAAAATTAAAAACTTGACACGTTCCTTCGTGTATCCGTTGTTTTACTTTCAGATCAACGTAGCTTTTCATTCGAATCACATATCGTTCGGAATATTAATGACAACATTTTCAAAATTTGCTTCAAAATTGTGGAAAAGCCCCCAGGTTTTACGTTTAAAATTTAATTATTCATCACTCATTAACACTATTTATATTTTGAAGGCTATCGTGTTGTCATGCGGGGAACATGGTGTGGAACATTATCAAAAGGAACGCAGGCTTGCTAAATGATGAAGTAAAGAGTGACATCGCAATTTATTATATACATCACAAATGACTGCAATCTAATTGCACTCTCCAGGAGTGCAATTAATGATTTTCGTGATGACTGGGGGAGCGGGAAATCAAAACAACAAAAATCCAATATGGCGGCGAAATTTATCTTGTATTGATCCTATAAACGACAAACGTGGACGAATTTAACTAAATTTTGGTACAATAATGAGTTTAATTTAAAGATATAGTATGGCAAAAAGAGCGTGTGGAAAATTCTTGGAAACAGTTTTAAGAAATAATCTCGTCAAGATGCAGCGATACCTGACTATGTAAGTCTGTAATACAATTTATAAAGATATTCTTACTCTAGAATAATTATGTTGTTTCATGAGTTTGAATCATGTGTTCTAGTTTAAGTTATCTGCCTTTATCAAGTTTATGATCATTTCCCAAGTTTGTTTATGCCAAATTGCTCACAAAAGCATTAAAACTTCTTGACAAAATCCAGTTGAATTTTAATTAAAGAACACGATTTTGTCATGCGTATAGCCATGCATATATGAATTTTCCGATTTTTGGAATAAATATACTCTATTATTATATGGCAAGCATTATTTTATGAATCGCGCAGTTTGATTGTCTGCTGACAAGGAAGGGTTTTCCCGTATTGCCCACGAGAAATACGCAATTTTTATTGCCGACGAAGCAGCGATGAGAGCCGAGTTTAAAACGGCAAAACGTCTAAAAGTCTTTCAAACTATTCAAAACGAAGAAAAATAGACCTAAAATAGATAAAAGGGGCAATACGTTTTTGACAATGTGTTTAACTATTAAAACAGAATCCTTATCATGGGCCAATTTTCTGGAATCCGGAAATAACGACCGATCTGGGATCCGGAATCCAAGGAGTGGAAACCGGAATCCAAGTAATGGAAGCCGGAATCCAAGTAATGGAAACCGGTATCCAAAGAGCAGAAGTCGGAATCCAAAGAGAGGAATCCGAAATCCAAGGAGTGAATAGGTCACCTTACATTGGCCGATATGTAAATCAAATCGGTTGTTGGGATGACATTTCTGTTGCAAAATTCGTAGATTTGGTGCTTTAATTTATTATGGGTTAGTAAAGATAGATAGTCATACAGCAATTAATTGATACACAGACTATTTAGCACGGTACTGTCTTAGACAATTCAAGATCGAGCATTGCCAGAGAAATTGAAATCTTTGACGCATTTACGTGGTAGTACTTCTACAGCCTGAATCTCATTGTATCCTCACCTATTATGCATTACAACATCAAAACTAAATGTTTGTATTTTGTATGTAATATGAATGAATGAATGAATTGTTGAAGGTGACAATCATTTTTAGTTGTGGAAACATTGCCAATTTTTTACCAGATCTTCCTATTTTGCATGCTAACACGAACAAATAGCCAAAATCTGTGAGCGTTAATATATTTATCGCATTGTTAGCAATACCCAGGTTGTATAACGCCTCGTAAATATTTTTAACATTACATGGTGGTTTAATTTTAGAGACCATGTCAAGTCCGTTCTGTGAATCAGTTCTACTCATAACGGGGGCCTTAAGGGGGAGAAAGAAACATTGCCCAAATTTTGCATGTTTCGAACTTTTTTGAATTGAAACGTGCTCCAGTTTATATTCAATTACAATAGAGAACCTGAAAAGTGTTAGATATTCAGTTAATATGTCTTATTTAACAAATGTAGCAGTTCAAAATGTAAACAAAGGATTTGTTTATTACAAACTTGACATGGTCTTTAATAGAAAAAAAAAAAAATAGTTCAGATATGATTGGTTTTAAAGGAACTAAACTTTCCAAGAATATATTCCCTTTGTACGAGATTGTATGACATTACTGGCCAAATTCTGAAACCTGTTCTAGCAATCCTCGTTTATTCAAGAAATAATTGCTAGATTTCAAATAATTTATGCACATTTTGTCAAACATTCTCAAAACATTTACCTTCACAAAAGAAGCCATTTCCACTAAAATTTGCTTTACAAGCACAGTAGTATGATCCATCCACGTTTGTGCAAGTAGCATTTGCATGACACGGAGCTTGAGTTTCACATTCGTTTCTATCTACATGAAATATAATGACGTACCAAAATCTGTAATAGTTCATTAAAGTGGATATGACACAAAACAGTTTACTTAATTAAACTGCTTGTTTCAAGTGAGTTCGTTGAATACGCCATTCACTATAATGCTTCATTATACATGTATGACGTCAAGTTTGTTGGCTTGCTTTCCAAAGAAAATACAGGAATATCTCATATACATAGCAAAATTATTAAAATCTATTAAAGAAGTTATTATATTTTAATTTAAGATCTATCTCGTTCAGGATAAGAAACAGTTCTCGGGTAAATGCGTTGTAAGATAACTGGAAAAAAACGAATGCTTTATTAATTTAATCAATTTCTGTAAATCTGAAACAGATTTAAATTTGATTAGCCTAATATCATCTAAAATTATTTGTGAAATTCATGAATTATTGTTGACACATGTCTACCTCGATAGGTTGCAATAAAGTTCAGTAAACTTGCAACACTAATAAAAAATAATTTGAGTACGAAATGTAGGAATATTAATTAACAATTAAGACGAGTAATACAATGACTAAGGATACTAATTAAGAGGCAGGGCAATCTGCATAATTATATCCTGCGCGGCAGCACGTCAGTGTAAGAGCGAGTCTCTACAAAAATCAAACATACCGCGGCAAGGCTCAAAATTTTAAATTCGCTCTACTTTTGAATTTAAGTTAACTATGACAAAGTATGAAACGTCATATGGTTAGTTTTTAAAAATACTCTTTTGTTTATGAAAAAAGGCAAAAAAATATTTCAGCTGTGAGGACCGATTTTCGCAATCGAAAAATGGCCGAAATTGCGTATGTTTACTTAATCCTGGTATCCAAACCCTAAATCCAAATAGCCTTATTATACTTTCTGCTAAAGATACATCACTCCCTCGTTTATTAAAAGTGGGTTTATGATAATTGAACAACTGAACACATTTGTGCACAATAAAGAGCGACGGGTACTGATCTTTATTGTTTGTCATTGCGTGTAAAAAGGGACAGATTTCTCCATTTGCCATCCTTTCAAATCTTATGAGATTTTGCACAAGCACTATTGGAAAACTGCTCTTTTCAGAAATGTATTATTTATTTTGGGCAAATAAATTCACGCGCTACGAGAAAGAGTTAACTTTGGTTCATTAAATATGCAAAAATCACTGTTTGGCAATTGACCATTTGCGTAATAGACTAAATTTTGATCTCAACAAGTCTAGACAAAAATTTCATCACAGCTTGAAAGAGCATCACAAACTTAGTAATATTCCAAAATTTCGTGGCGAAATGTTGTAAAATGCGGATAATATAGCCTTGCAAAATTTGTAATTTTCAGTCATTTTAGATTACAAACGGGAAATTGACAGGCTGTCAATTTCCCGTTTGTAATCTAAAATGACTGAAAATTGCAAACTTCGCAGGGCTATATTATCCGCATTTTACAACATTTCGCAACGAAGTTTTAGAATATTACTAATTTTGTGATGCTCTTTTAAGCTGTGATGAAATTTTTGTTTAGATCAAAATTTAGTCTATTACGCCAATGGTCCGATTGCATGACTAAAAACCCCTTGAAATAAACTCGCTTAAAACATCATTGTTCTTCGCCTTTAGTTTAGAGAATTTGAAGAAAACATAAATATACATACCTTGAATGAAAAAAATTTCTTTGAGCTGTTCCACTTTTGGAGTTTATACCAGGAATTTAATATTGTCGACCGTTCGCTTGTTTACATCTCCGCCTTATACATCGACTCAAAGTTCTTGGAATCCAATCTATCAGAAATCAGCTAACAATTCACACAACTTCCATTCGTGTTCCATTTACAATTATTAATATTCTTAGAAACAAAGAGTCAAAATTAATGATGCAGAAATTCTATTTTATTTTTATACTGACATATCGAAAAAGCTAAATGTTTACATTATAGGTGGCGGGCTTCCTGTCGATTTGGCGGAAGTAATGCCACTGCGATGTATTACTGTAATGTTGTCATTTCTTTTTTAATATTTTTTTTCAATTAAGTGGATTATTGCGAATTGAGGTTTTTTTATTGCTGTAATTTACTTTTATTTACAATTATTAATATTCTTAGAAACAAACAGTCAAAGTTAATATTACAGAAATTCTATTTTATTTTTATACTGACATATTGAAAAAGCTATTTGTCACCAAATGTTTACATTTTTGGTGGCGGGCTTCCTGTCGATTTGGCGAAAGTAATGCCACTGTGATGCATTACTTGTATTTTAAATATTGTTTTTATGTGGATTATTGTCGAAAAAATGCGATCCGCACGCCGCTATGCTATTGTTATCATGATTAATTAATATCCGTCACATTGTTAGCTGATTTCTGTTAGCTGGACTCCTTGAACTTTGAGTTTAATCATGTAGTTAAGTTAGGGCTAACTCCAAAAGTGGAACAGCTCAAAGGAACTTTTTGCATTCAAGGTATGTATATTTATGTTTTCTTCAAATTCTCTAAACTAAAGGTGAAGAACAATGATGTTTTAAGCGAGTTTCAGATTGCAAGGGGTGTTTAGTCACGCAATCGCGAAACAGTGATTTTGCATATTTAATGAACCAAAGTTAACTCTTTCTCAAAGCGTGTGAATTTATTTGCCCAAAATAAATAATACATTTCTGAAAAGGGTAGTTTCCCAATAGTGCTTGTGCAAAATCCCATAAGATTTGAAAGGATGGCAAATGGAGAAATCTGCCACTTTTTACATGCAATGACAAACATTAAAAATCAGTACCCGTCGCTCTTTATTGTGCACAAATGTGTTCAGTTGTTCAATTATCATAAAACCACTATTAATAAACGAGGGAGTGATGTAGCTTTAACAGAAAGTATAATAAGGCAATTTGGATTCAGGGTTTGGATACCAGAATTAAGTAAACATACGCAATTTCGGCCATTTTTCGATTGCGAAAATCGGTCCTCACAGCTGAAACATTTTTTTGCCTTTTTTCATAAACAAAAGAGTATTTTTAAAAACTAACCACATAACGTTTCTCACTTCACCATAGTCAACTTATATTCAAAAGTAGAGCGAATTTAAAATTTTGAGCCTTGCCACATATTTCTCATTTTGTTTGATTTTTGTAGACAGTCGCTCTTAACATGTTATCATGAACTAAAATTTTGTTGCAGATATGCCAGTTTGTATTTCGTTGCTGCAATTGAAAATAGTGACAATGAATTGATAACTCTTGAGATCATTCACAGATATGTTGAACTATTGGATAAATATTTTGGAAGTGTAAGTAATCAGTTTAATACAGTAGATTGTACATACTATATCCACAGCAGAAATGCTGTATTATATATAATTATTGTATAAAGATGTGAATACAGAAGAATGTCTTACACGCTACTTCAAATGAACTGGAACACATCAGTTTTTCCAATGTATGAAAGCCCTTTGTCAGGAAGCTAGTACAGGGTGCGGTAATTCGCATGTACTTATGTACTGGAGGTGTGGTATTAGCGAGGTTCAGATTTGACCCCCACTAGACCACTACCGCTACCATTAATGGACTGGTTAATCAGATGCGTTTGATATATCCAATCAACCAATCAGATGCGTTTGATATATCCAATCAACCAATCAGATGCGTTTGATATATCCAATCAACCAATCAGATGCGTTTGATATATCCAATCAACCAATCAGATGCGTTTGATATAGCCAATTAACCAATCAGATGTGTGCTAAGCCAATGAGAGGTGGTGGTAGTGAAAGTTAAATCTGAACCTGTCTAATGTTACTGTCTGGTAGTTCTTTGTTTTGACGTAGGTATGTGGTATTCTAGCTATCTGCGTACTTTTTCCTGGTATCACATGACCTTTCCAAGCCCAAAGTATTCAAAGTCATGTGTAAGTCTGACATGTCTTGGCATGAAACATGATTGGACTGACGAGACTAAGAAATGTTGGAGTCAATTGTATGTATTTGTATGTGCAATTTTGCTCCTTGTTCGTGCAATTTCAGGTTACTGAATGAATACATTTTAGAACACTGTACTTTTTGCACCTATATAAATACTAAGTACACCTCGAGTCTTATAGGTGTGTACCAGCTCAAGTACGCGGCAATAATAATTGGAGTACCAGTCAAGTACGACTAAAAATGTTGAATGATCACAACCTGAAGTAAACTACCTTCCTGACAAGAGTTGACGAGAGGCCTTTACTTGTTTATTAATTTGAAAGAGATTTTTGTTTGTTTGGAGCAAAGTCTCTCGATCAGAAAATCATTAGCAACATTTACTATAATATCAGTCTGTTGGAGAATTTATTCTTGTTGTTTTTCTTTTGTGATCATTGATCGTTCTTGATTGATGATATTGATTGTATTTGTTGTTTTAACATTGATATTGTGAATTGTTAGGTTTGTGAACTTGATATAATATTCAATTTTGAAAAGGTAAATTGAAGTTTTAAATGTTGTCATTTTTAAACCTCATGAAGCCATAGTGGGCATATTACCCGGATGAGTAAAATTTTCTGTTTGTGCTTCATTCCAAGCTGGATTCATTTCATGTTTTAATTTATGTACTGGGCGTATACCAAACACTCCAGGTTTTCCCCAGTTCCTTCCTTCAGTGTGGATTATGAAGATTTTGCTAACAAATCAAATTTGCAGTTGCTCGCGGACATTGGCTAATAGCGAGCTGAAGCAAGCGACAACACGAACGTTGGCCGGAAGCAAATTTGACGTTATCAACCAACCAACATTCTTGACCCAGTCTTTCAACGTTACTCATGCCGTTCGTGTTGTCAAAAACGTCGCTTGGCTTAAGCTCGCTAATAATGCTCGAGCAGCTTTTCAATATTCACATTGATATCGTGCTCATCACTTCCTCCATGATCAATCACATTACATGTCTAATGATTTGACTCAACGATTCATGCAACTAAAAAGTTAGTCTTAGTCCCACGGAAACTGGTACCATACACTTGTGACGTAATTAGCATTAACTTGGTTTTGTTATCTTGCTGAGCAGGCATACTACATGTTGGATGAATTGATGCTCGGAGGTGAAATTCAAGAAACAAGTAAAAAGAATGTTTTGAAGTCTATTCAAGCTCAAGATCTCTTGCAAGAAGTATGTAGAAAATTTATGACACTATTGAGTTTCTACGTTTCTCACAAACATCATGCTGCATGATCATATACATGTAGGACTGTTTTCTAGATTGTCCCTTGTACACACGCAAAAATCTCACATCTTGAGGCAAGTCTGCCAAGAAGCTGTCAACAAGCTGTGTTAATTCGCACTGCTTGTCCAAAGTTGTCAACAAGTATGGAACAACTTGTTAACAGTTGTAACAACCTTGTTGATATTATCAGACTTGTTGCAAGGTTTTCCAACAAGTCCAATACAGTCCTGATATAACAATATTGTTACGACCTTGTGTCATCAACCCTGTAACACTCTTGTTACAACAACTGGGAACAAGCAGTGAGAACACAACTTGTCGACAGATTGTGAACAGTTTTGTAACAACTTGTTTGCAGATCAGTACGTGTGTACACAATATGAAATTAATATGCCTGATTATTATGTATGGTTCTTGTTTTTATAGGAAGGTGAAATACGCAGTGCATTGGAGGAGATGGGTTTGTCATAGTCTTCGAAATTTAGAACATAATAATTGCAATGAACATATAATTTCCAAAATTTCTTACTTGTACTCTCTTGATAATAATTGAATATTGTAAGTGTACATACAATATGTAATTGTAGCGTTTTATATGAGAATAATGTCGAGTTATTTACCTCAATTGATTTTACTGAGCTGATTAATACTAGCATATAAATTTAACTGAGATGATATATATCGGGATATTTTTATGAAAACCGTCGATGCATATGCAACCAAGTTTCATTCACTCAGCGTAACAAGACTGTATTCTCTGCGAAGTTTCGTCACTGTCTTACTGTAATTTTGTTAACATTTTCTGTAGCTAGACTGTATCCTCAATTAAATCCACAATTGTGTAAAACGTGCATACATGATATGCTGGAGTTGAAATTTAAAAGCGAATCTTTTCGCCTGCGCAACCACGCTCAAGTTGTCAGATGATGTTGGTATACTAATAGTCTCCACGTTGTCGTTATCGCCATGTGGAATATTGCCAACACTTTGCAACACATATTACTGTATAAAGTAGCCTCATACTCGCGCGCTATATTATGTAAGGCCAACATGCCAGTATTTCCATGGTACCTAGTTTGACGTCAAACGGGACTAGAAATAGTGAAGCATGCATGGCGAAAAATACACGGCGTAAATACTAGAAAGTTGATCTGGTTGTATTCTATTGTATCAAAACATCGTCTTGAATTCTCGTTGTGGTATAAAGTATAGTATTTTGTTTTTCTGAATAAACACCAATGCCTATAAAAATCTTGGATATAGGATGTGGATAAAAATCTCGGATATATAAGTGTCGATGCAATCTCCCACAATCTCTGAATAGTCGTGAGGCGGAAAAGTTTATGCCTTTCGAAAACATTTTCACATGCACAATTCCTTTGACGCTAAGGGAATAGAGGAAAATCCTAAAGTGATGTAAGATATATCATGGATAATAAAATACATGGATAGGAAACTAGCTGACGTGACCTAATGTTTTCAATGGGATGATGGCGTTGAAACCTAGTTGCAAACCAAATTCTCAAAAACGGCATGTTTAGCGATAGTACAGCTAAACATTTTAGTCATGGAACAAATAAATATAACTAGGCCATTCTACGATGAAATCTCTAAGTATTCCCGGTCAATTTTAGCAATATTTCAAACACTAAACAGTGAAAAATGCATCGCAAATTTCGTAAAAATTGGCGACGCCAATTTCGTAGCTACAAATGTTAAAAAATACAAAACAAAGACGAAAAACATTTACCTTGAATACTTTGTCGTGGCCTAGGCATGTTTTTAAAACAATTAGACCAGTTTATGCTTCAATATTACTCTTTTAAAGCGGAAAATATAGCGAAACAGCAAAAATGCTGAGCACTTTGGCAATACACGTGACGTCACAGATTGCAACTAGGTTTAGACTGTGACGTCAGGAAGTTTTCTATCCAGTTATTTTACAATCCATGGATATATATTTATTAAGTTTTAGGATAGGGATATTATTGAAAGTAAGAAATTTTCAAGTAACAAAAATACATTGATAAAGTTTGCAAGTATAAGAAACTTTTAACTGGTCCTGTCATTGAGTAGCGATAGACAAGGACGAACTGACAGTTTTATAGGTCTCGATCAGGAATAAATCCCAGCCTCATTACGAGTGTATAGGCCATCCTGGGAATGGCGTGCGATCGCAGGCGCATGCCTTGCACACGTATCAGCAGATTATGAAGAAGTACGACTTATCGCACGCCTCGATTAAGCTGCAATGTAAAATAATTATACTCACCTTACATGCACTATATAATTATACATTCCAATAAATATAATGAAACATAAGTGACTTTCTAAAAGTCCAACACAATGGTCTAACTGTTGAAAATATTTTATATTTGTGACACAATGACATGCGTCACGGTACGTCGCTTCATCGCCAGCGCTCCGATTTTCTGACCATGAAAGACTCTGTGGATGCGGAATTCCTGTGCATTCAATTCCTTCGCACCCCTAACAAGCCCGAGGAGTGCGATTCGTTGCACCCTACCTGGCCTGCATAAATATTTTGAATGGCGTAACTTTGTCCTGAGTGGCCCTCGGCTTGGATAAAAAAGCACTGCTTTGTCCTCGGGCGTCTTGGGTGCAGAGTTTTGGTATCATGAAAAACGGGGGGGCGTTACTTCAGTCTCGGGAACATTCGGCTGCAGTCATTTTCAAAAGTTGTTGGGACAAAGTATCACATTTACAGCTCCAACGTTGTTTACCCGATCACACACCAAATGAAGATGCTAACTGAGACCCAACATTAAGAGGGGCTGAATCTCTCCTTCCAGTAATCCCGGGGCCGCAAGTTCTCCGCATCTGATGGACCTGAAAATGCAAATTATTTCTCTTTATGCCCTGCAGATCACACAAGATGTCTTCTAAATGTACCAATTTTCATGCCTGTATAGAAATTCGTAAGTGTACTGTTGATCACCAAACTGGACACGCGGGTACAATCCAAGAATAAATTGAAATGAAAAATGCGAAATGATCTATTATTAAATCCTCTCAAAATAGAAATTCTGAATTTCAAAATTTTTCCAGACAGCATGCCACTTTCCTAGAAACCTGTCGCTCTGGCACCATTCCACAGTTCGAAGTGAAACATTTGTCAAGATGATTTTGTTGTTTTTGATGTTCACCTATTTCCAACATCGCCCTATAATAACAAACGTGTTTCTGCTGGGGTCTACACGTAGGCTAACATCGAACAGGTGCTGGAAATGAACCTAACCTGCGAACGGGCATACTCTGGGTTACGAGATTGTATCACTAACGACCCTACGGGATCGGATATTTTTACGGTTGAAATTCAGTATAGTGTCTTCCAGAACTTGCACTCAATCACCCAGAGTCTTACATGAACTACTTGAAAACAATTACGATCACTTTCGACCTAATCAAGGGTCTTTTAAGGTAGGCGGGTCTAAGTCTGTTTTGATACACTAGCTGTACCGGATAGTTTCCTACCTTTACAGGAACGCTACTGTCCTCTGGCTACTGTCAAAGGAATTATTGCAACGGAGCTCAACTTTTGAAAGTTGTACATTGCGTATCGGATAACCCCCGATAGGTGCTTTTTCGCGCCGCTACGTAAAGCTCGTGTTCAACAATATCTCGTAGGTGCTAGAGATTGTATTGGAGTGTGCAGTGATTTCGAAAAATTTAATTATTAATGACAATGTTACTTTTTAAAAATATTTTACACATATACTGACAACGCAATTACATAATTATTTAAATTACACATGGTCATGGCTACAGAACTAAGTTTTTTTTTGTATTATAATAATAATAATATATAAATATGTAGTAATTATAAAAATATTTACACTGAGGTATTCCTGAGCACGGGGGTCTGAATTCATTTCTTGGTAAGTTGCTCGTTTCAGTAATGTTTTACGTAATTCATTCCATTTTTCAGCTGCTGTATAACTAACATATCCGAGAAACTCTTTCATCAAATAAGTTTGTGTATGTTGCCTACCAGAGGCTACAGATAGTACATCTGCGAAACGCTCGCTCATTCATCACGGTCTAACTGTAGTATCGAATTCAGACTAACGTCAAACATTTTATTCGTCAAAAGTCTTTCTACACGCGTCTTCAATTAAATCGTACCTTAAAAATGATTAAAACCGTGTGGCGTAAAAATTGCACAACTGCATAAATTATTACGCCATAAGCTAAGCTGGATTCTAGAAACTTCAATTTCCTCGCAAATGATAAAATTTAAAAAAAATAAATGTTGTAGCTGTCTTGCAACAATCATTTTACAGTCGAGAATTCGTTGAAAATTATATTGACGATTCACTACGCATTGACAGAATTTGCTAGAAATTCGGATACCTTATTGAGGTATTTGTTAATCATTACAAATCATTACAATCAGCATATATATGTCAAATTATACAGATAAATATGATATCCTGCAGTGTGGTTTTGATCAATAATAGCTGAATCCACTCAAATCAACCGCTTTCTATTAATTCTATACAAACCCACTTAATTATTAGATATTTTATGATCCTTCTTGAGGAAAAAACACCGAGAGTGAAACAAGTAGTGCTGAAATTAGAGCCATATTGAATGAACGGCTATAAATGTACAGATATTTCGTCAGGTAGTTAAAAATACTTTACTCTGACACTTCGGACAACATTTTCACGAAATCATTTGTTGCCGATTGCCCGAGTGTGAGACAATATATCAACATGCGTGGCAGCCAGATGCTAAATGTAAACATGCGGAAATAAATGCTGCATTTGTATCGTTCATCTTTGCACATGTACAAGTCGACCTTTTTCAAGCCCGTTTCACAAGGACATTCGCCTCTCGCGTGTGAAAGCAGCAAAACGGACATGAAACGAGTCTACTGTCTGGTACTGATATATCAATGAACATAAATCTTTCTAAATTACATTTCTGATAAATAACGCAGCATTGAAACCGATAGGCAAACAAACCGATAGGCAAACTTGGGTTGGCAGATGTAACTACTTGAACAATACAAGGTCCTACACTTCCCTTCGTCTGGCGTGAAAGACGCTTGTATTTTTGAGGTAGTAGCATTCCTGCCAAAGTTTGGTTTATATTATTCCCACTACCTACACTGGCCGTTCAAAATCGATAGACAGCAGTGATCGTAAATTATTTATTATATAAATATTTCCTACATAAATGTTTATAATTTCTCCAACAGTGAAGTCATTTGAAAAATGTAATCTGAACACGCGTCTTTCATGTCCTGCTATTTTCGTTTTGACGCAGAATTTTCACAACTCTAATTATGTCCAATGTAAGATGATCGTCGCGCAAACAAATTAGTAAAGTTTAAAAATTTCATGAAGATAAAGGCTTTTTGATCACAGGAACATATTTATTCCATATTTATTTATGCTTGACCTTGTATAATCACCTGGCGTGACTCCGTGGGTAACTTCATTACTGAAACTATTCGTTCATGAGATTAAAAAAATAAAGTAACATAGTGAGCTGAGATTTTATTAATGATTACAAAGAGACCTAAACTCAATAGCTGTAATTTGGCGTTAAAAAGCGCTATTGTAGTATTCATACAACGGCGATATGCATGCTCGATTTCGCAGCGACTGTCTCGAGTATATACGTCAATTATTTCCGACCGGAATCTCGACTGCAATCTATATTAATTATGCAGTTTGTTATTGAATACAAAATAACAGAAACAATAACAATTTTCCAGCACTCGTCACCAAAACTGGCGATTGTTTTGACCCTCAAGTATTTTGCTTTCTTGTCAAACGTATCATGACTCATGTCGATTTTTTCTTTCTTCTATTCATCTTTGGGCTGCTATCGCTTCCATCCGCAATCTTAAGTGCATGGTTAGTTTCATTAATATGCTTGAATAGCTGGTTGCGTGTTGAGTACTCCTTATCACAAACATTGCATCGTAAACCTAAACTTTCATTCTCCCCATTCTCAGTCTTGTCTTTCTTAGACTTCCGACGAGTTTTACTCTTACGTTTTGTTTCATTCTCTTTAGAGTTTACTTCGAATTCGATGTTTATGTTTTTCTCCACACCTTCGTCGGTGATATTGAACATGTGTTGCTCAACTTCATCTTCCTCTTTGTCGTTTTGTAAAATAAGCTCAACCATTTTTCTTTCACATTCGTCAAGACCACATTCATTAACAAGACTATCAACATCCTCCTCGCTACTTCGTCCTTCCAAACTTCGTGTTTTTTGAAATCTCTTTTTACTTTTCTTTCCTTTATGAGCAAATGCTAACGTGATCTCGTCTGCTAGCTGTTTACCACACGCATCTTTCTGTTCCTGACCTTCGCCTGATGATTTTACAATCCGACGTGAATTTGATCTACTCCTACCACTAATATAAGCAGGAAGATCAAGTGAGTCTCTCAAATGTAACGCATCTACATCAATAGTACTGTTATCGTCTGCTGTGCTGCCTTCAACATTCATATTAATAGTAACTTTATATTCATTTCTGTCCTGCTGGACATCCAGTAACTCGGCTTGCCCGCTCAAATTCTCTTCCATATGTTCTTTAATCAACGAAACTCTTTCACGATGTTTTTTAGACTTTTCGTGGTTTTTCAAAGCTTTATCTGACTTGAATAATTTCTCGCAAGCGATACAATAAAAGCTCTCTACTTCCTCGCTTTCTGATAGGCTGCTTGAGTTGTCGTCCCCAAACTCCTCATTAATATGCGAAGCGACCTCGGTCAAATTTTTCTCCAAGTGAGACATTGAGTTCCAATCCTGTTCGTGATAGTCTTTCAGTTTTTCAAGCCTTTCTTTCTTCTCTGTAGCTCGTTTTTCTTTCATCATTAGTAATTTTGCCTTCTCTTCTTCCTCTTTCTTCTCTTTATGCGCCTTCACACGTCTATCTCGTTTCCTAACGTGATGAACTAACTCTCTTATTTGCTCGTTTCGTTCCTTCTTTGCAGTGTCTCGCAATTTCTTATTTTCTTTCTCCATTGCTCGAACTACTCTTCGGTTAGGAGCTTGTCTAATGTCATACTTTTCATGCCACACAAATGTCTTAAAAGTGCAGTAACTCTGCCAGTAATTATAAAATAATTTCACTTCTTCAAACGGGCTCGATGAATTTCCAAACAAAGGTATATCGTCTAACAAGGATTTATCGTTCACAAACTTTGAATCTTCTTCGACAATTGTCTTAAATACGAACGAATAAACAGCGTAAAATCCTTTCTCATCATCCCCAAAGCCACGATAAGCGGATGGTTGAAAATAATGCATTAAATTGAGGCTATTGTCGATATAATCGTCACCGCCATTAAGGATTTGTTCTCGATGTTTATCGTACCAGGCTCGTTCTTGACGGTCAGATAACACATCATACGCCTGCTGAATTTCTTGAAACATATCTGTAGCTTCCTCTGGACTGTCCGTGTTCTTATCTGGGTGCCATTTTAAAGCTAACACGCGGTAAGCTTTCTTCAACTCGGTGTCTGTAGCATCTTGTGAGACACCTAACACCTCGTAATAACAACGCATACTTATTGCTTTATTACACTTCCGACACTATTTATTCTCTCTTAAACTACAGCATTATGAAGCATTATCTAATATATGTAATATTTAAGTCATTAGATAGTACATTTCTTCATTTATACAGCTGAAATATTGGACGTTGTATCACTCAATTGTACACGTTTCGAAATTTGTGAACCCGGCCATGTTTGAATCTGTGCGCGCGCATGGCATTTTGTCAATGAACGCTGGTCAACCATTGTGGCCAAGCCTGCAGTTGAAGTGATTGACCAGTGACCACTGAGTTTTACTATATTACATTTATTTATTATTTATTTATATATAATATAGTATAGGCTGTATAGCTCAGTGTAATTGACCCACTGAATTGACCGCACTAAAATATCCTGATATTTTTTTACCATGGCATCATGACCTTAGTGACCTTAGTATATATACATGAACTTGCGGCCAGAGCTGAGAGCTCAAAACTGAACCACAGAATAAAGACATACAGAAGTGTATCTTCTTATTAAAAGTGCGTAAGGAATTTTTTCAGTCCGCCATGTTCTTAGCAAGTGCCCTAAAGAGAGGCAGTCACCCCCTGAAAACATATTGAAAATTTAATATTCCAGGGGGGTGAATGCCTCTCTTTCGGGCACTTGCTAAGAACATGGCCGCCAGCTATTTCGGTAAAAAAGCGCCTTACGGTTTTGTAATGGAAGTTACACTTCAGTATGTCTTTATTCTGTGACTGAACTCTGTAGTACTGTAGAGTCATTTGGTTAGAGCGGAATCGCAGGTTCGGTTCCGGCCAGAGGTTGCCAGAGGCCGAGAGGGCCTACAATTGCATTTTTCGCAGCTCTGTTCGCAGTTGCTCCTGGTCTGGTCTAAATAAATGTATAAATTTACACTCGAAATTTCCATCTACAGAAGCCTTCAACAGACTGCACTACCAGCTAGACTTGCTTCCAAGGCATTTTTTAATACCATGGACTGGTGGGGCATTTGCCCCACTGCGCCCCTTCCTCTGCCCCACTGCGCCCCTTCCTCTGCCCCACCACTGAAGAAAAAAATGGCCTATTGCCCCAAATCCAGGGCCCTAGGACCTGTATTGAGTAAATGAGTTTAACAATCATTGAAAAAAGTTTAAAAAACAAAATTTGTTGGTGAGCATACTTAAACTTATGTTGTCGGTTTGAATGTTTATAGCATGCAATTTATTACAAATTTCACCATTAAAACTTTGTTTTGAGAAGCTGAGATCTTCATTAAAATGTGTTCTCAGAATGCAGGAAATGCTATTTCAGATCAGAGACTCCAATTTCACAACATGGCTGGTTGACCATTATCCGAGGCAGTTATCAGAGTGATAAAATAATGTTAACTATTTTACACGAGACAGTTTAGTTTATCTTGAATTACAGAAAAAAATTAAGTCTATACAAGGTCACGTATGTAATTAGTCGCGCGTGCACACGAGAACATTTAACTAATGAGTACTAATGAGTTAACTAATGTGTAATGGTAGGATTGTACATTTACAAACAACAGTTGATTTGCAACGAATGATCACCATAACAGTTCATGGTCGGTGCACGTCATCGCCTGACGATCAGCCTAAACGGACTGAAACTCAAATTTGGTCGGGGCTTGTCGGCTGGACAAACTGTAGAGGGATCCGGGGCATACTTTTAAATCTAAAGTTTTTGAAACGGCTGTATTTTATTTATTTTGCATTTCAGGCAGCGAAAAAATCATTTCAGGCAATTTTCTAAACATTTCAGTCAGTTTTCTACGACGGTCGCTTGATCTTCTGCCGCCGATTTTCATTTTTTTTCTTTCCTCTATCCGATCTTTTAGATGATTCCTCCGAGTGATGTTAGTGCAGATGTTTGTGAGGTGAGACATACACTCCCGGATAGCAAGCAATTTCTCTGCCTCTGCGAATCCTTTTTTAAATAAAATGGCTATGTGTCAGAAAATGCTTTGCAGGTGGCAATAGAAATTTGGTTTAATTTTAATTTCCAAACATTCAGAAGTGGAATTATCTGCAGACTACAACAGCTCTGTAACGATCACTGGAACACTATGATACGATTATTATATAAAGTGATAAACCATGGCCTTTCTAACACGATGTTCTATATACTAGAAAAGACTAATTTTCATAATGCCATAGTAAAACTATCTCAAAATGGAAGGATTATGTTTTAATACAATTACTTAATTATAATCTGCAATCCTTTTGCGAAGACGACACGCTGTGCTCGCATGCTGCAGTCAGATCTGAAAGCGTCAAGTCAGCATGAAAACATATCAATTCAAAACACAACTTTTTATCATGTTTTTTAACAATATCTTTGCAAAAACATTCAAAAATTCGGATTTAACGATTACTGATAACAAACATATGTCATTATTGACATTATTGCACAAGTCAGTTGTTTAGTTCCTCGTATCACCATGACAACAGGTCCTTAGCAACCATTATCACACACTAACAGCGGGCACTATCAAGACATAAGACGATTTTGTTCTGACGTTTTGTTCAAATTTCTTGCTCAAAATGCATCGTTTTTACCAACCAATCACTCCAGCAAGTAATAAGTTATTAAAACAGAGATGGGACGACACATATTTCGAAGAACATAGGAGAAAGGTGAATATTTCATATTTTAATACATTATTAGAATTTCGAACTCAGATTTATTTGATCTTTGGTTTGTTTTAGGTCGCGACATCAAAAGCGGTAGTTGATAATAAACCCCCCAGAACATACATGCATCTTCATCTCAAGTTAAAGAAATTACAGGTACTAGAAAATGAATCAACTCAAATATAAAACAATTATGTGCTGCATAATCCAAGCCGCTGCGCTTTAGTGCGCGCTGACATCATACTCACATCCTTCCGTCTTGTCTGTGCCCTGTGGTCTTATTTTTTATCAAAATATCAATAACTATTCATAATGTTGGTTGAAGGTTCTAACTACTTGAAAAATATAGAACAAATTCGACATCTGCTCTGTATTCTCATCTATGTAATGTTTTTCATGTAGTTTATAAATTATAAATCCTTCAATATTGTCCCCAATCGGCAATCTCTAGGACATCAAAAATTATGTCATTACCACTGTCTATTCAATTTATTATATTTGGTATCTTACTACTGTTGTTTCAATACAGTAATGTCATTAACAAGAATATTCATTTATATATTTTTAAAGTCAATTTGTTTGGAGAGTCAAGTAACAGCCAGCCGAGAAATTATATAGCCTATAGGATATGAAAATAAAAATTTAAAAAATTTAAAACCCAAGATGAAAACATCTTGAAACATATGGACCGACTAAACTTGATATTTTATAAAAACTCAACGATATTTTATAAAATGGTGTTAGTGTGAAATGTGGACTATAAATACAACATTTTAATCAAAGATTTGACATTACTATGCACCTTGTTCTGGCACCTTGGCATTTCTGGCACCTTGGCATTTTTAGCTTTTATTGTTATTTCAAGGCGCCAGGACCCTTCCTTATGTAATTATCTATTTTAGTTTTTTCAAACTTGTAAAGCTTAAGGGTTGAAATAAATTTGTTGTTGTATATTTCTTCGACACAGTTCTACATTTGAAGCAACATACTGTAGTTCACACGAGTCATTAAGTGTATGAAATATGAGTTGCAGGATTGAGTTAATCTCATCAACATTATTGTAATGTTGCAAGCCTGCAGGCTATTTAAACCTTTTCTAGTGCTTTGCATACTTGATAAGGGAGCAGAATTATACATTTAGCATCACTAAATGCAGCAACAATAAATAGTTTGTGAAATCTTAGAAAATTGACCAGTTTATACTTGAGGTGATCATCTGTCATCTTGTCATCAATCTTATCATAACATATCCCTCTAGTCTTTGTGTAATCACAAATAAGCTAGAAAGTGTAGAATTCTGAGAATAATGCAATAAATATATATTGGCTGATAGTGTGTCTAATACTGGCATATTTATTTGTGAATTACCATACACACAAGTTGTTAGGATCCAGACAACAGATATAGAGACGTACGTATAGTAACATCTTGAAAGATGATCTGTCTGATTGCCACATTAAAACATGAGTCATGCCACATATCACATCAGCTAAATAAATTGGGTTTTTTTTGCCCATGCAAGTTCATCTGTATAGATATAATTGAATTGTCTCTTAAGTACATAGATTGGGCTCATTAGAGGATCCCATATCTGAAGGAGTAAGATTTCTTTGCTGCCTGAAATACAAAATGAATGAAATGACCTACATTGTGAGCAGTCATAGGGAACAGAGAGCTAGGGGTATAGCCCCCCCCCCCACCCCTCCCCCCTACTAAACCATTCTGCCACACAAGAGCAATAAATTAAAAATATTTTATTTGCCCTGCCTACAGTATTAACATTAGCAAGCAATGTACCCTAATATGCCATTACTTTATTATTTACTTTGTCCAATGCCAGATATTTTACTTGTCAAGGTAAGGGCACTGGGCTCAATGGGTTGATCAGACTATCTGCCCATGTGTCTATTTCAGGGCTGCAAATAAATATTTGACTTGACAGGACATAGAGGTAGAGATCATATGCCACTATTCTCAAAATTTGCCAGCCTGAGGGTAGCACCCTGAACCCCCCAGAATTTTGCCCCCCCCCCTGCCCCCTCAACCAAGCCAGTGCCTATGGTCTGAAACCCCCCCCCCCCAACTTCTCTTCAAGACTATACAAATTAATAGCTGATAATACGTACTACTGTAACAGCTGTTGTAAACATTCAAGAGTATTTTTCAGCATTCTAATTTAATATAATTAAACCTTGCAATTTGTCACTTGAACTTACAATAAATAGTGAAAATAGAATGTAATGGCAAGGAACATGTTGTGAATTCCTATTCAGTTGATGCTGACTTAATTGCTACTAAAGTCTTTCCACTGTGACAATTATAATAAAAAAGCTAAAAATGCCGACAATTACCATAAAAATTATACAATTTAGTGCAATTTAAAATATAACAATTACGTAAATTTAAAACACAAGGGCGTTATAACAATAATACATACTTCACATGATTTGTTTGAGCCATTAATATAATTATTGACATATACATGTGTAGAATGTAGCTGTATGATATGTGGTTGTTAACAATTCTCAAGATCATTGTTTGCAATATATCGGCATTCGGCATCTTCAACGTGAAAAGACCAAAAGGAGAATGGTATGATCCACATACTTAACTTTCATTTTCATATCTTATGTTCACTCACAGATGGCCAACCATTCACGTAATAATATTAAATTAAATACTGCAACAATCCGAGTACACTTCCCTATGGAACCTGAGACCATGGAACCAGGAGGCATTGGGGGAGGTGCCCCCACACTTTTTGTGGAAGGAGAAAATGTGCCCTTTCTGTGGAATAAAAGTGGCCATTTTTCCAGCAATTAAAGAGTAATTATAATTTCCCCCTTAAGCTAACAAGTCTACAAATGCCCTGTTGACGGAAGTGTCGTTAAGGTAGTGTGTGCTTATAGGAAAAAGACAAATTATGTAAAATAGTGTGAATTGACACATGCATGCAACTAAATAGGGTTTATAGCTTGGTGCGATTTCTTTGTCTTCGCAGCTGGGTGTACCTGTTAGCTCACCCAATATAGGCAAATATTCCAGCTTATAGTTTATGCCGAGGGGTAAATTACTCTGAAAATCTTCGTACACTTCATCAAGAATCCAAAAAAATCTTTGGAAAAATCCCAAAATCTTACTAAATCCCAGAATCCCAAAATCCCAAGAAATCTCTACAAATTGCATAAAATACTTGGAAAAAGCCCAATAAAGTCCTCAATATTATTGCAATATTGAGAAATCGCATCAAATTTATACATTTAAATCGTGAATTGGCGTGAAAATGCCCTTCGTTCGACGGATTATATGTCGCAAAAAATGTCGGAAAAAGTTCGGCGAAAAAAAATAAGGGAAAATATTTCGAAAAATCAGCTGAAAAAAATCCCAAAATCCCTAGATTTGGGGAAAAAATCCCAGAATCCCGAGAAACATTGCCGGGATTTTCTAATCCGAAAAATATTCGTACGCTTTTTTCAGAGTAATTTACCCCTCGGTTTATGCCTGCAGGGGATGATGGGAAGTAAGGTATCATATTGCCGATTATGCTGAAAAATTTCAATAAAAACTACCGAAACAACCGAAATATTTCAATATTTACACGTATAAGCTATCACTCCGTGTTTACACGGCCATCATTTTTATTTTTTCAGCATCATAATCAGCAATGTGATACCTTACTTCCCATCGTCCCCTGCACGCATAAACTAAAAGCTGGAATTGTCTATTAAAAATCGCATTTATGATCGGCATGAAACTATAAATTGTATGCCCACGTCGTAATAATGGAACTCCACTGAGAACTGGGAACTGTTTGGAACATGCAGAAATTTATAGCTGCGGATTGAGACAGGATTCAAGTACCTAAAAATACAATTAAAACTTATACTTTTCATGTAGGATCCTAGCTATGTTCCATGTCATTTCTGGTGTGATTGTCGCTCTACCTACGGTGGTACAGATCGTTAGAATTTACTCAAACCACTTACGTTCTATCACATAAATAAGTAGCTCCTAAATCAGGATATTCTAGCTCGGACGAAACTTGTTAATTGTTTGTTTTAAATTCTTTAATTCTTTTAATTGGTTTTGAAATATTTGTTCTGATTTAATTTCCAGATTGAAGAGGAACGTCTGGCGACGATTGAAAGAGATAACAGAATTTTACTTGAAAAAATGTCCCAGATCATGAGAACCAAAGGACGAGTGGACAACTGGAATGATTATAGTACAAAAAGTTTGAACAGAACAAAGAGACAACAGGAGTTACTTCGAGTTACTCATGAGAACCAGGTTTGTCAACATTCTTAATTGCAGCAAAGCTGCCAAGCAGGCTTTTAGCCAGGATCCTAAAAGAGGGCGTCCAATTTTGGCACAACGATACATCTACGTCCCTCTGGAAAACCTTTGAAGTTTACGTTACTTCATGTCAGTGTCTGTTCCAAGCTCGTTCGAAATTTTTCAAACACACGTGGCTTTGTGAGTTTGTGCCGCTATGCTTCTTTACTTAACTATGACATTTTCATTCAGCCAGGTACACCATCAAATTGATCAAACTGTCCAATGTATAATAATAATGAGAATTGAAGCTATTTCGTTTCAGATATATTAATATACTTAGGGAAATAATTGAAAATAATTTCCCTTTTCCCCCAGAATTTGGGCGTCCAAAGGCGTCCATTTTCGTTCTAAGGGCGTCCCAGGACGCCTGGACGCCCTTCTGGCTAAAAGCCTGCTGCCAAGTCTCATGGTTTACCCATGAATCTCCAGGTTTTGGGGCTGAATTCAAACTTTCATGGTTGGACTTACAAATCTCACGGTGTTTCAAGAAAATGATTTTTATTGATTCAATATAACTTACTGCATATTTATTATTTTATATTTTTTCCCAATTCTTCTCAGTTAAAACGAACGAAAAAGTGCGGGGAGCGTAGGCAGAGGGTAGCAAAGAAACAAATATGTTCCAAGAGTGTATGCCTTGCAATCTTTTACCTCTTGTCATTTTCTAGTGTAGGAAATAGCATTCCAAAGACCATAGAAACACAAATTTATGGATGAGGCATGCAATTGCATGTTGATCTTGCTCCCCCGTTCTGTTTATACTGGCCTCGGTCCTAATACTGAACCTCATCAGGGCTCGGTTGCTCGAAAGATGGTTAGCTTAATCCTGCTAGTCAACCAAAAATTCAAACTAAGCAAGCTTCCCAGCAGCTTGTTCATAACTTGGAAATATTTTTTCAGAAATCTCGTGTGGATCTATAGGAGTTTTCTTTCCTGACGTTTTGTAATAAACAAACGTGCAGAGATACATAATTAAACTAAAACGGCGGGTTACTAATTTCCAGGGTTAGCGCTAATCCAGCTTTGAAGACCAGCTCTGGTATCTCACACTCTGCATGGTATACAAATCTAATATTCTGCATGGTATATACAAATCTCACATTCTGCATGGTATCCAAATCTCACATTCTGCATGGTATACAAATCTAATATTCTGCATGGTATATACAAATCTCACATTCTGCATGGTATCCAAATCTCACATTCTGCATGGTATACAAATCTAATATTCTGCATGGTATATACAAATCTCACATTCTGCATGGTATCCAAATCTCACATTCTGCATGGTATACAAATCTAATATTCTGCATGGTATATACAAATCTCACATTCTGCATGGTATCCAAATCTCACATTCTGCATGGTATACAAATCTAATATTCTGCATGGTATATACAAATCTCACATTCTGCATGGTATCCAAATCTCACATTCTGCATGGTATACAAATCTAATATTCTGCATGGTATATACAAATCTCACATTCTGCATGGTATCCAAATCTCACATTCTGCATGGTATACAAATCTAATATTCTGCATGGTATATACAAATCTCACATTCTGCATGGTATCCAAATCTCACATTCTGCATGGTATACAAATCTAATATTCTGCATGGTATATACAAATCTCACATTCTGCATGGTATCCAAATCTCACATTCTGCATGGTATACAAATCTAATATTCTGCATGGTATATACAAATCTCACATTCTGCATGGTATCCAAAATCTCACATTCTGCATGGTATACAAATCTAATGTTCTGCATGGTATATACAAATCTCACATTCTGCATGGTATACAAATATCATATTCTGCATGGTATACAAATCTCACATTCTGCATGGTATATACAAATCTCACATTCTGCATGGTATACAAATCTCACATTCTGCATGGTATACAAATCTAATATTCTGCATGGTATATACAAATCTCACATTCTGCATGGTATACAAATATCATATTCTGCATGGTATACAAATCTCACATTCTGCATGGTATACAAATATCATATTCTGCATGGTATACAAATCTCACATTCTGCATGGTATACAAATCTCACATTCTGCATGGTATACAAATCTCACATTCTGCATGGTATACAAATCTCACATTCTGCATGGTATACAAATCTCATATTCTGCATGGTATACAAATCTCACATTCTGCATGGTATACAAATCTAATATTCTGCATGGTATCCAATTCTCACATTCTGCATGGTATACAAATCTAATATTCTGCATGGTATACAAATCTCACATTATGCATGGTATACAAATCTCACATTATGCATGTATTGTGTCTAAATCTCACATTCTGCATGGTATACAAATCTAATATTCTGCATGGTATCCAATTCTCACATTCTGCATGGTATACAAATCTAATATTCTGCATGGTATATACAAATCTCACATTCTGCATGGTATACAAATCTCACATTATGCATGATTGTCTAAATTGTAGCTAAAGTATACTACCTCGCTCTACTGCAGATGGTTTATGTGTCCATATGTTTACAGTGAAAATACAAAAAGTGTCCCACTTCCGCTTCTGTAGTTTGTTGCGATTTACTGTAATTTGTTCTGTTTTTCTGTAGCGATTACCGATTTATCGGCAAATACCGCGATAAAACTTAGTTTTTTCTATTTTTAAATATGATAATTTGTAGCAAAGGGAAATAATACATTTTTCGTTAGTTTCATTGCATAAAAGGAACGAAATTTAAATTGTATCGCAGTATTTGCCGATAAACCGGTAATCGCAACAGAAAAACAGAACAAATTACAGTAAATCACAACAAACTACAGAAGCGGAAGTGGGACACTTTTTGTATTTTCACTGTAATATCTTACATTGTTTTCTATTGCTCGTTATACTCGTTGATGCCAACTGCTTCACCTTCTTTGGAGGGACTGGAACCGAAAATAGAATTTATAAATTTTAAACTTTTTATGATTGGTCAACGTTTCTTTTACTTTTCTTTTTAGTCTATTTTAAAGAGAGTCCTGGCTCAAAAACCAGTGTATGATCATTCAAAATGGGTATGTGGCAATTTATTTATTTTTTCTCTAGAATTCTCATTATCCAGGGTGAAGTGAGCAGTACAGACTTCCTTGCCATTTTATTTCTTTATTCATTTATTTGGCATGGTTTTTCGGATAAGACATTTAGGTTTTTTGAATATCATTAGATCCTGTGCCCTTGAGTAAGCGTTATTTTACCGTTCTTACCCTCAATCAATGGACAGGATCCCCAGAGGAGAAACTAATACCGTAATGTCCATAATTATTATGTGGAATAATTCTGTTTAGTTGCTTTTGTGGTCATGTTTACATGAAGTATGTCCCATGTATCATGCATTGCACGTGTTCGCGCTGCTAAAAATGTAAACGAATGGCACTAGATGTGATATGCGATGGTGTACAAAAAATAATTTGTAAAAAAGCAACAAACGATTTTTTTTATTTTTAGGAGGACGATTGGTTGGAAAAAGAAGGTTACATGGAGAGTATTTCAAAATATCCCAAAGAATGGTACAAGAAAAGTGGTGGTAAGAAGAAAACTCCCGCAGAGAAGACAAGAAGGAGCGAAGGAAGAAGCGAGGGAAGAAGCGAACAAGACGGCGGCGGGTCAAAGCGAGGCTCGAAGAAAGATAGAATGTCACCTAAGGAAGAAAAAGACGGAAGGTCGCCCAGCCCTAGGGAAGAAAAACAAGCAAAATCGCCGAGACTTAGAGAGGAGCAAGAAAATGGCGGCGGGTCAAAGCGAGGCTCGAAGAAAGATAGAATGTCACCTAAGGAAGAAAAAGACGGAAGGTCGCCCAGCCCTAGGGAAGAAAAACAAGCAAAATCGCCGAGCCTTGGCGGCGGATCAAAGCGAAGCTCAAAGGCAGACGGAATGTCACCAAAGGGAGATAAAGACGAAAGGTCGCCCAGCCCTAAGGAAGAAAAAGAAGCCATCCCTGAAGTGAAAGAAGAAGTAAAGGAAGAAATGAAAGATGAAGTAGCAGAAGAAGTGAAGGAAGAAATAAAAGAAAAAGTGGCGGAAGAAGTGAAAGAAGAAGTGAAAGAAGAAGTGGTTGTGGAGAATGAAATCACGAATGAAGAACCAGATGAAAATCTAGGAAAACAAGATGAGAAACTTGTTAAACCAGATGGACAACCGGATGAAAAACCTGAAACTGGAGACAAAGAAGAAACACCTGAAGATGACAGTAAAGATAAAATTGAGAATGACGTTAGTTAGGAATAATATTTTTACAAACCTACTGGTGTGGTAGTATGTCAAGAATGAGTATGGTAGTATCCATTAGGTTAACTTACGTCAAACTTTATTTAGTACAGAACACACACACACATTTGAATATTTACATGGCAATCATTAACTGACCAACAATAAAACGAGATAGTTAATAGATGAACAACAAAAAGGTTGTGATGATCATATTCAGTGGCGGGAACATATGGTACGTACGTATGACTACCTGTTGTAGTTTCAAATCTTAATTCTTTAAACGTCTTTCCATTTCATGCAGTATTTACTTAAAGGCCGTTTTCCACTTCAATCGTAACGTATGGTAGCATTCTCTTTTGTGTCGAAGTCATCAATTCCATTCTAGTGCTCAGGAAACAAAGAAATACGCTTCGGTACGATACGGTTGAAGTGGTAAACGGTTTTATAGCCTACCAAATGTGGAAGAAATTACTGTCTTGTCTGAAATTAAAGTCCGTCTCTGAATAACATGATCCTTATACAGTATCATGAGACATTACCGTCAAAGTTGCCAAAAAAACTAGCCAGTCGTTTAAGTTTGGGTCTGATAAAAGTTTGTGTATGATTGCGTATTTAACCACATGGAATGTAAGAAAAATTTATACTATTTTTAAACAAAAATAAAATAAAATTGTTGTATGGATGACGATGTTGGGCACTCAAGTGAACTGATGTTGAAGAGTTTTGTTGACGGAAATTTCCAGTGGAATTTTTATACATTTCTTAGACCTAACCAAGAACAGTTGTGAGAAATGCAAAAGTTCGATTCTTACCAGAGGAGCAATAGTTGCATTTTTCTCACATGCTCCTGCTTGTCTAATAAATGTATAAAAAATCAAACTCGAAATTGCCATCTACAAATCCCTTCAATAAAATTGTTGCTATGTTTATTGTTGTTATTTGACACACGACATTTCAGCGAGATTTTAGAGAGATTTACACTATGATGGAACACCATAAGTGTTTTCCTTGACCTTGAACGGTCTGTCGGTGGCAGCCTTGGTAGCCTGCATGGCAGGCGGTACTTAGGAAATACCGCCTGCCGCAAAACTGGGTGTAAATGAACTACCGCCCCTGAAGCATCAACGCTATTTATAGATGCATTAATTAAGTAAATATTCAAAATTAGCCACTCCCAAGCTGCTCCCAAGTCCCAACTGCCGAACATAAAATAAATTCCTTGATTCTCATCACCGCCCGACTGAATTTTAAAATCCTCGTGAAAACGTTTTATTTTTCGTTATACAATATAAATGTACCGCCCGACAAAATAATTCAAGATAGTTAATTTTTTCATATTTTATATAGAGTTTTTATTGCCATTTTAAACTTCCAATTTGAAACAAACAGAATTTTGAGTGAAATTTCATTGTATTTTAAAGAAACTCAGTCATTCTGTCATTGTTCGTGGAGATACGAACTATTGATATATAAATTATATAAATATAAAATATAAGAAATAAATCTCCCACTGTCTTCGACATTTCAAAGTGTAGACTGTGTCTAGTGATGAGAATCAAGGAATTTATTTTATGTGTTAATATAAACCAAGCCCATTTTAATAGCTGCCTTAAAACGGTGGTTTAATAAGCTCAAAATACAAAGCATGCAAGTCTACACTATAGATTCGTCATCAGTCAACAACCAAAATGAAAGTATTGAACCTTATAGAACGATAGTTTTTATTTGTTTACAACTATACATATTCAACGGGTATATAAGAGTTTAATTGTTATTTGATAATTACTGCATCAACCGGCCCCTTGTTTATACTTTGGAGGTTCGTATATAATATCTATCAAGTATCTTTGGTTCAGAACATGATAGGCCTATATGAAAATCCCACTGTTCGATTCAGTGAAGAAATATGTCCTAATTCCTATCGATAGTTTTAGTAAAATGTCAACATTATTGCGATTTATGGCCTTTGAAAGTCAAGCGAGATCGTATATTATCAAAGTAATACGCATGGTAATTGTCTGAACGAAAATATAGACTAGCCCATACCTTTCGCCGATCATAACTTCGGCCCCTTCGGACGTATCTTCTTTGTTAAATATTCTTGTTCGAATCTCTATCAAAAACACTATTTAGAGTGTTATTTTTCAGCTTGTATCTTTTAATTTGCTTCTTTTATTATGTTATTCCATTTCTGGTCAGACTTGACGTGAACTAATTCACAAAATGCAGAGTTTCAAAACGTCAAAACATTTGGTTAATGATTAACATTTAACCGAATTTAGCCGTTGATTGACAACTACATAAAAATACTAACCAATCCGTTTTTCCCGTTCACCAGCGGACGGGTAATTCAAAAACCCCTAGTTTTGCGGCAGACGGTATTTCCTTTGCCTCCCTAATTTTCGCTGCCTGTAGAAATACCGCCTGCCGCGCAGGCTACAGCCTTGGCAGTGCCAAAAACACCAGAGAACTGTAGATGTGTAGGGATTCAAATACCTTTCAAGCGCATGTATTTTCACGATCCATACTACTAACTTCCCGATGAAGGACCTTCGCTCGAAACGTCGACGTTTTCCTTGTATTTTCCTTGACCTTGAACTCTCCTGTATCTATTCCCGTGTGTTCAACTTTTTGGCACCTGCTCCGCCAAAATTGAGATTAAATGTTTAAAAGTAACAAAATCGAGAAACAAACTTTGAACACATTGGATAGTTTAGAATAATAAACGAACTTTGACAAATTGCGAAAATTGTTAGGAAATGTATGAGGTTTGAAGGTTTCAGCTGACGCGCGTGCCCCATGCAATGCAATATATTGTAATTCTCGCAATTTTCAAAAGCTTCACCCTTACTGCATGTATTTTTATCTTAATGTGGTCAAACTTTGTTTTTGAACTAATTTTGAGGTGCTTTTCCATTAGTCGAGTTTATCCCTAATTTTGTTACTTTTTAACACCAGGTCTTCGTTTCTTCATCAACTTTGGAATGGCCAATTATGAATTATCCCCTTCTCGAAAGATCATGTGTATAGCATCCAAGTCATTCGGGGAACGAGCATTCCAACATTTTGCTTCGTCGTTTCCTAATCTCTTTATCTCTCAAGAGCTCAGGAATTACATGAAAGGAATTAATTTAAAAGTATGCTCGTCTCGTGAGGTTGATTGAAGATATTAGTTCGTGGTAGGTCATGAAGGTTTCATAAAGCACGCTCTCCACTAGTAAACTGGGTTGAAAGTTGCCGCAGACATTAATCTTCAAATAAGCTTTGCTGTTTAAAAACAAAACTTTTTATGTCATAACACAATCGACAAAGAAACCAAATCAATTTGCAGCTCTGCGCTCGCGGCGTCATTTTGAACTGTGCGCGTCATGGAACAGCAGTCATTGAAACTCATTCTATTAAACCTTTAAGAGCGACTGTCTACAAAAATCAAACAAAATGAGAAATATGTGGCAAGGCTCAAAATTTTAAATTCGCTCTACTTTTGAATATAAGTTGACTATGGTGAAGTGAGAAACGTTATGTGGTTAGTTTTTAAAAATACTCTTTTGTTTATGAAAAAAGGCAAAAAAATGTTTCAGCTGTGAGGACCGATTTTCGCAATCGAAAATGGCCGAAATTGCGTATTTTTACTTAATCCTGGTATCCAAATCCTAAATCCAAATAGCCTTATTATACTTTCTGTTAAAGCTACATCACTCCCTCGTTTATTAATAGTGGTTTTATGATAATTGAACAACTGAACACATTTGTGCACAATAAAGAGCGACGGGTACTGATTTTTAATGTTTGTCATTGCATGTAAAAAGTGGCAGATTTCTCCATTTGCCATCCTTTCAAATCTTATGGGATTTTGCACAAGCACTATTGGGAAACTACCCTTTTCAGAAATGTATTATTTATTTTGGGCAAATAAATTCACACGCTTTGAGAAAGAGTTAACTTTGGTTCATTAAATATGCAAAATCACTGTTTCGCGATTGCGTGACTAAACACCCCTTGCAATCTGAAACTCGCTTAAAACATCATTGTTCTTCACCTTTAGTTTAGAGAATTTGAAGAAAACATAAATATACATACCTTGAATGCAAAAAGTTCCTTTGAGCTGTTCCACTTTTGGAGTTAGCCCTAACTTAACTACATGATTAAACTCAAAGTTCAAGGAGTCCAGCTAACAGAAATCAGCTAACAATGTGACGGATATTAATTAATCATGATAACAATAGCATAGCGGCGTGCGGATCGCATTTTTTCGACAATAATCCACATAAAAACAATATTTAAAATACAAGTAATGCATCACAGTGGCATTACTTTCGCCAAATCGACAGGAAGCCCGCCACCAAAAATGTAAACATTTGGTGACAAATTACAGTAATACATGATGTCATCGCAGTGGCATTACTTCCGCCAAATCGACAGGAAGCCCGCCACCTATAATGTAAACATCCTAGCTTTTTCGATATGTCAGTATAAAAATAAAATAGAATTTCTGCATCATTAATTTTGACTCTTTGTTTCTAAGAATATTAATAATTGTAAATAAAAGTAAATTACAGCAATAAAAAAACCCTCAATTCGCAATAATCCACTTAATAGAAAAAAAATATTAAAAAAGAAATGACAACATTACAGTAATACATGATGTCATCGCAGTGGCATTACTTCCGCCAAATCGACAGGAAGCCCGCCACCTATAATGTAAACATTTAGCTTTTTCGATATGTCAGTATAAAAATAAAATAGAATTTCTGCATCATTAATTTTGACTCTTTGTTTCTAAGAATATTAATAATTGTAAATGGAACACGAATGGAAGTTGTGTGAATTGTTAGCTGATTTCTGATAGATTGGATTCCAAGAACTTTGAGTCGATGTATAAGGCGGAGATGTAAACAACCGAACGGTCGACAATATTAAATTCCTGGTATAAACTCCAAAAGTGGAACAGCTCAAAGAAAATTTTTTCATTCAAGGTATGTATATTTATGTTTCTTCAAATTCTCTAAACTAAAGGCAAAGAACAATGATGTTTTAAGCGAGTTTATTTCAAGGGGTTTTTAGTCATGCAATCGGACCATTCGCGTAATAGACTAAATTTTTATCTAAACAAAAATTTCATCACAGCTTGAAAGAGCATCACAAAATTAGTAATATTCCAAAATTTCGTGGCGAAATGTTGTAAAATGCGGATAATATAACCCTGCCTGTCAATTTCCCGTTTGTAATCTAAAATGAATGAAAATTACAAATTTCGCAAGGCTATATTATCCGCATTTTACAACATTTCGCCACGAAATTTTGGAATATTACTAATTTTGTGATGCTCTTTCAAGCTGTGATGAAATTTTTGTCTAGACTTGTTGAGATCAAAATTTAGTCTATTACCCAAATGGTCAATTGCCAAACAGTGATTTTTGCATATTTAATGAACCAAAGTTAACTCTTTCTCGTAGCGCGTGAATTTATTTGCCCAAAATAAATTATACATTTCTGAAAAGAGCAGTTTTCCAATAGTGCTTGTGCAAAATCTCATAAGATTTGAAAGGATGGCAAATGGAGAAATCTGTCACTTTTTACACGCAATGACAACCAATAAAGATCAGTACCCGTCGCTCTTTATTGTGCACAAATGTGTTCAGTTGTTCAATTATCATAAAACCACTTTTAATAAACGAGGTAGTGATGTATCTTTAGCAAAAAGTATAATAAGGCTATTTGGATTTACGGTTTGGATACCAGGATTAAGTAAACACACGCAATTTCGGCCATTTTTCGATTGCGAAAATCGGTCCTCACAGCTGAAATATTTTTTTTCCTTTTTTTCATAAACAAAAGAGTATTTTTAAAAACTAACCATATGACGTTTCATACTTTGTCATAGTTAACTTAAATTCAAAAGTAGAGCGAATTTAAAATT